CGAATACAGTCGATTCAACCGCTCTCAAGATATTAAGAAAATAAGAACAGCACTGAGGTGTTGAAAAATGTTTTTCTTGTTTTACTGGGTGAAAAAAATTGATGACGCTTAAAATTATTTCTGTGATGCTACAAATCAAAAACAATTTGGATCTACGTATAAAAATAAACGTTCCTTCAAACTACATAGGTTAAATCAAAATCAAAATCAAATCAAAATTTTTTCCCGGCTCACTGTTATGATCTGTGTATGCACACACAGATCATTAGCATCATCTACTTCGACAGCGCTATCTTTCTTTCTCCTATTGTCCTCTACACATTATGTATTCTTTATCTCATTGGAGATAAGAGGATACGAGTATATCTGTCCCTGTTGTTGTTCAGTTCCTATTCTTTATTGTTAGAGTGTACGTTATCGAACCTGTGAATAAAGAAGTGAAGGTACACCTTAACACTCCCCTGTATAAAAATGTTCGGTTTTCTCGTGGAACGTCTCTTAAATATCTTAAAGCACTGCACAGTTTTCAATATAAATGTTATCACATATTTTATATATTGGGCTACAGGCCCTTTTATTACTTATTATTAACTATATACCACAATAATTTTCGACTAATGAGCTAGTTTTTGGAGCTCACGACATATCGCTATAGGACCTGCTCAATCATTATTCCGAGACACGACTTATTTTAACATATGTGATGATGGGAATTTTGGAATAATTATAGGCAAAAACCGATTAAGGAAAATTGGACCATTGATTTTTCATCGAATTTTTCCATAACACCGAAAAAACTCATTATGAGCAAGCGGGATTTTCAAGAGCCTTTAATCTCAAGAACAACTAGTCCGATGGAACTGAAAATTTTTGTGAATCCACACACCATACTATTCAGCATATTTAAAACAGCTGTTAGCGCAATCGCTGTGAGATTAAAATGTGAAACATGATGATACTTCGTTGCTGGAACCCGTCTACTACGGTCTGTTAGTCTTTCCAGCTTTTATTCCACTGTCTGTAATCAATCATGGAGCCTTTCAGTCATGGTCTGTATTGTTATCTATGGAGTCGGTAGAGACCATCACAGACCGTTACAGAGAATATCATACGCCATCACAGACTGTTACAGAGACCTCGGAAACCACCACAAACCGTTACAAATTAATTAATTGATCAATTAATTTCTCTGTAATGGTCTGTGGGGGAGGCGGGGATGGGTCCAAATTTTTACCCTATATACTTTAAAACTCCTTTCAGACTGTGTTTCAAAAAGATCCCCACTACAACAATTGAGTTCTTGATATTCTACGGACTGCAATAAGAGAGTAAATACTAAGTACTTTGGCCTATTTTGGGAGTTCATATCTCCTGACTAGAAGATGATATAAGTCTGAAAGTAGTTGAAAGATTAGAAAGGAGTTTCTATATGGTATAAAACTAATTATTTTTCTTCCTTTGATTTGCGATGTTTTTTCATCATGCAGAAATAGAAAAATGATATACTTCATTCTGGAATCAAACCCATATGATACAGTTACTGTTTTTTCGGACCCGCGCTTTAACCATTAAGCTACCGAAGCACAATGAACACCCCATTTTCTTTTCTGAATGATATCAGATCGTCGAAAATGAAAGGAAGAAAATGAATTAGTCTTATACTTTCGTGTAGAAACTCCTTTATAATCTTTCAATTATGTTCAGCCTCACATACGATACAAAAATTTATTATTTTTTCTTGGTTCACGTTTTTATCACCTAATTTTTATTGTTTAAGAAAAAATATGTCATGAGATCCAGCGTGGAAAGCTCTGTCGTCTATAAAACAAAACTTTTTTCATTGTCTATCTTTTAGTTTTTCAATTAGCGAAATTCTGTGCGACCGATCTTCGGTGTTACAGAAAGTCCTTTTTTTCTTATTTTATCTCTTCATCTCGCGATTACTATTCTTAAATAGAGGAAAAAATAATAGAAAATACAGCGTGAGAATCTGTACAGTTACCAAATTAGAGATGATTTTAATTGTGTAGTTTTCGTCTCTAAAGCAAAGCAAAATTCTATAAAATCACTGTTCGCAGCATCGAAAATTGGACGCATAGAATTTCGCCCATTTTTAAAATAAAAGGTGAACATATAAAGAAAAACTTTTAGTGTATCTTGAAGTACTTTGCACGATGTATCTCCCGGTATATTTCGGTTATCAATCAAAGTATTTAGTAATGAAAAAAAATATCCAAAATGCTGGCATTCATTATGAACCAACGATTATTTCCTAGTGCTCCTCTATACCACTGGACATCTAAAAGAATGCGCTTTTGTTTTGCATATGGCTCAAATTAGAAATACTAATAACGTAACAAAAACCACTGTGATGAATTGTGGATACAATGATTCTACGTGAGACATGATTATGCTTTTTATTGAGCTCTGAGTCGCCGGAATGATGATTAAAGGGTTAATTCGAGAGGCAATCGACTTCTAACATCCGAAGTGACTATTTCGAAAACCAGAATCTCAATGTCGATAGGGAACCGACTGAATCAATTAATGACCGCCCTACTTTTCTTGCATTTAATATAACAAACTTGTAGTAACTTTGGCTAATCATAGAAAAAACTGTCTTAAACATACCTTTTGATGTGTTCTGATGTTTTTGTTGATTCGTGCTGCATTGATTAGTAGGAATACGATGATTTTCACTTTGTGTTGATTTCGACTCAGGAACCATGAATTTAGTTGTAGGAGCTCGTGTACAAGCATTCTGATTAGCACACTGTCTGAACTTTTGAATCAGGAGTCTACGTATCGGTTCAATCAGCTTGAGTCTGCGATTGAGCTCCTTTTCATCTCCACTTTCGTCGACCTCATCATGATTTACTGCCCCCGAATAATAAATTCCTAAGTGACAAAAATCTAACAGGTGTTTGACGGCAGGATCATTTATGATTTTGTCCCGCATTTCGTCCATGCTATTAGTTTTGAATTTGTCAGCATGCGTGAGAATTAGCATTGAGATAGATGAGCAGGTAGAACCAAGCACTTTCATAGCTGTATTCAATGCTTTGATATGATTCTCCACTTTACGTGGATGAGAAACAAAGCAAACCACGTTTAGTTGATTGTCGCAATCCTGCAGAATTGGATACACGAAGTTCTGTATCGTGTCTTGGTCAGTGTCATTTTTAAAACCGGGCGTGTCGTATATACGGAGATTATTGAAATCATCTATTCTAACGTCATACCGTAGCGTAGAAGAAGTTTTATTGTAGTCGTAGACAGGAACACAAGGATTTCGTAAGGTATCGACTATTCTCGACTTTCCTGCTGCATGTCCTCCCATCAGAAGAACTCGAATCAATGTAACTGATGTTGGAGAAATAGTGTGCAACGATTGTGTTGCTGTTAGGTCTACCAGAGAAAACAGTACATAGAAAAATTATTTGCATTGGAGCACAACGTAAACTAGGTATGCATCAGAGACCGAAACGAATGACAAAAATACCATTCGGTCCGATTCGGCTTTTCAGGACCTTAATTCGGATTCGATTCTGCTCTTGTGGTCTCTCAAAGTTTTCATTCGATTCGATTCTGTTTTTCAGGACCGGGATTCGGATTCGATTCGGCTTTTCTGGTCACTCAGAATTTTAATTCAATTCAAGTTGGCTGAAAAAGTGAAATCGAAACGAATCAAATCGAATTGTTTTTTTCATTTTTCTAGCCGAGTCGAATCGAATTAAAATTTTGAGTGACTGGGAAAGTCGAATCGAATCCGAATCCAAGTCCGGAAAAGCCGAATCGGACCAAATGGTATTTTTGTCATTCGTTTTGGTCTCTGGTATGCATCATTTCAAGTTCTGACTGATCGACTGTATAGCCCATTGAATTGAACATTCAGTCATACTGAATATGGAGTCAGTATTGATCTTTTGTTCTTTATATGATAGACGATAGAACCTAAGACTGGGTGTGGGTTCGGGAGTACAGATCTTCACTTCTTATATTTACCCACACCCAGAATGGGGTATAAGACAAAGTGGTCTAAAGCTATGTAATTAAATAAAAAGAAAAAAATAGTGAATTTTTCTAAGAGAATATGTATAAAGCAGCGATTTATGATCAGTCATCCTATTCCGCAATGTTGAACATTCTGGAACTAGTTCCGCCCCCCGGAATCAGTTCCGTCAATTCGGGAACTAAGTCAAGCCTGAACACTGTGCGATTCCGAAATTAGTTCGTTCAATTCCAGGAATTGCACGGAATTCTGTCCAATTCCGGCATTACAACTTCTATTGCTATTCTATCTTCTCTAACCTATGTAATAATAATCCGACTTCGATTCGGAATTTCGTACAGGAATTGGATTTGTCACCGAGCAGTAAGTGATATCAATGGTCCATTAATCACTGAATTCCTGAATCGCACGGAATTGCAGGAATTAGATGGAATCGGTTCCGTGCGCGGAACTGGTTCCGGAATGTTCAACATTGCGGAATATGATGTATTCTCTTGATAATATGCCATATTCTAAGAACAGACTAAATTGGAGGACAGACTGATCTCTCAATGCTGAATATTTTTGCGTTTTGCAACACTGCAATGACAAATTAGCAGAACCTATTTAAAGAGTACTTATGACGGAAGTTGTTAAGTACGACCAAAATAACGGTCTATCGAGTTATTTTCCGTGACTATTAGTTAGTGAATAAATAGAAATAGAAAGTTTATCCAGTAAGAACAAATATTGAATCGAAGTCTTGCATACAAGCTTGATTAAATGTCCTGCAAAATCTAAACTGGTTTTCTGTTTATATTTATTGAAACAGTAAATGTATCCTGGATCTATCACATGCATCGGTATTTTAAACTTTTTCTTAAAAATATCAGCTCATTCAGACTTTCTGTAAATGTATTTACGACCTTTATATTTTAGATAATAGAAACTTTGATGAGTTTTAAAGCTTGTCCTTATATAATCGTACTACACACAAAGAAGAGAAAGTTTACAAATAGTGAATGCATCTGTAAGACGTACCATTCATTTGAATTGGTTCCACAAATATTCTCTCAGAAAAAAATGACGATAAAGTCTTATTGGACTGCTTATAACTATTGTAAGAGTTGGGATCAAGCATGGTAAATTTAATTGGATCGTTAGGATTTCGATTCATCAAAGAGCAGAACTGTTCTTGAAGTTGCTCCCATCCGACAATATCTTCGACATTCTTATCGTTCATTTCTATGATACGGTCAAAGTTTCGTAGACCAGACAATTGAGCCAAACTAATATGATCATGAGCAGTCAACAGAATATAATGAAATCGCTGTTGTTTATGATAGTGAAATCCAAAACCAAGCTGCTCGTGTATATTTAGGTTATTCAGCGTACATATTCGAATCTCTTTCTGAGTCTTCGAATTGATCGTGTGATGATCAACGGCAAAGTCGTCTGTCAATAATGCACATAACAATTCTTTTGAATTTTTACTAATTTTATGCAACTCACCATATGAACTTAGCAAATCCAGCATTTCCTTTGGTGGATTACTGCCAGAACCAGAAAATATTGACATCCCTCCGTTTTGATTTCTGTATTCAATTGTTCTCCAACCCAAATCTGCGATCTTTTTTTGATTCATATCTGTATATAATATTGACCAAGGAGCAGATTCATAAGGACAAAGTAGTGTATGCCATATTTTCTGACTACCATTCTTCTCTTTGTATACCACCGCTATTTCATTTTCTTTCTGCTTAGTAAGCGATGCCATATTAGCAAATATATATGAAACTGATCTAAAAAATATGCAATTCATCAACCGATAAAAGTAGATAGAGTTAGTAGCATTCAACCCAAATGAAAAGATTCTAGTCAGATAAGTTGACAATTTCTCGTCAATTTTTTTCTTGTATGATCATTATTATGCGATGAACATAAGTTAGTTAGTAGATCATCAACTGGTTTACTACAATTTGCACAGTCTATGAGTTTTTGAGCTAGGGCTTCACGCATCGGTTTGATGTGTTCTAATTTTGTGTTCAAAATCCTAACACGAATATTTGCATCGTTATGCGTTTCCAATTCATCTCGATTAATAGCACCATGGTAGTATAAACCTAGCTTGCAGTAGTTGATCACTTTTTTACATTCATCGTACTCAGACGAGGTCAACTTCTCTTTAAACTCGTCCAATCGACTATTCGGGAAGCCATCGCAGTGGGTTAGAATCAACATAGAAATGGATGAATATGTGGGACCGAGAAAGTCTATAAGCGAATTAAATATGACCATATCATTTTGATGGGTTTTGCCAGCAACAGAAACAAAGCAAACAGCATTCAATGTTTGAATATTATGTTTAAGAAAAGTGGCAATTAAATTTTGAATTTGTGTATTCGATCGTGATTCTTCTGTATCATGTCGTACTTCTTGTAGACCAGGCGTATCCACAATGTTCACTGTGTATTCATCTTCATTTGTTGTTAAAAGTACTTTGTGCGAGTAACATTCTTTTGTTTCTGCCATTCCTGTTGCTAATGATCCTTCATAGTGAGGATTGGCCAGAACATGGATCAACGTAGATTTGCCCACTTGGGATCGACCGATGACAAGAACGTTAATCGAATCAGAAGTTTTTTTCTGACATTTTTTATTAGCTTAATAGAGTAAAGTGTATTGGAAAGAAGAATAAAACCAAAAGCTTGCTTACGCTGCATGTTGGAAGAGTTAAATGTTATTGAGGCAATTTCATTTACAACCTAACCTATGCAAAAAATAGCGACAAAACAATTGTCGTAACTAGCTCATCGATGTGAGAAAGAGAACACGATCGAATAAATACACAACTAGAAGGTGCAATGATGAAGCAACATTATCTCTCTCTTTTCGAAACATCAGAATTGATAAGATAGCGAAATAAAAGTGACATCAACAATAGATCTCGCACGACACAATATTCAGATAATGACTTCACGCTGATGATATTATAAATGCCGACCGTTCCAAGAATTTGAAATAAAAACATCGGATCTGCCACTCATTTTCTTGGGTTTTTGTCTCAAGAAATAAACAAACAGAAAAAAGATTGTCAGAAAATCTATTTTCCAACTCACAGTATTTTCAACAAATAATTAGTATATGAGAATAGTACGATCGACGCGTGCTATAACTCTAATAAACTCAATTACATTGAAATAATATTTGGCTTTTTTTCAATTTTTTAATTCCCTCAGGATCTATGACAATACTTCTCAAAGTTCTGTTTAAAGCGCACCACCCCTCTCCGTTAAAGATCGACTTTTATCCAGTGTCGTGCGAATCGCATGTGGTTTGGGAATATGTTTCGAATGCAGTCGTGATGTTATGACAACATTTTTAACCCTATCTTATGATATTTGAGTGATGTATTCGTCAAACAAGGGCCAAGAACACATCTTTTAGCAACCCTAAATTCGCTGTAGAAGTTTCATTCAATCTTTTTTATATTGTGAAACATGATCTAAGAGGAGTTCTCAAGTATAAGAGTACAAACTGAACCCATTTCCTAGCTCCTTCCACCATAGATCTTGGCAGACACAGCTTCAACGATGAAACTTGTTTTATATTGCACTAAACAGTAAAATAATTATTCGTATGTTACAAGACAAACTAAAAATATCTAGGAAAATATGCATTCAATTTTGGCTATACCCAGGTGAATCATTCCGACTATCGGATCCGACGCCTTAACAAGACTCTAAGTGATATCTGATGATGGGATCAGTTATTAAGCTCTAATTAACTAATTATGCAGGATTTCCACATTGGATTCATGAGTAGTTCCTCAACCCGAAATCCCATCGGATTTTGTTGACTGCTAGGATCCGATAGGATATGGTATCGGATTCATTCACCAGAATAATGAATCTGAGAGAGTATACAGATTATATACAGTATTGATCTTACACTCTAAAAGAAAAAGACTTTTTACCGAACTCCCGAAAAAGGTTCCGTATATTTGAAAAAGCTTCCAAATGCATTCAAATGCTCAAAAAACGATTTTTTAGTTCTATGAAACCGTTAAAGATTCTTCCCCTGGGCACACAGGAAGAACCTTTAATGGTTTCGTAGAACTGAAAAATCTCTTTTTGAGCATTTGAATACATTTGCAAGCTTTTCCAAATCTACGGAAACTTTTTTGAGGGTTCGGGAAAGAGTCTTTTTTTAGAGTGTAACTGATTTATTAAGCACATCTTCCTATGATCCGCTGCTATTTCATGTTTCATATTTTATTTGCTGAAGGATTGCGCTAACAGCTTGTTTAAAACGCACTGTGAGTTAGAAAATGACCGTATAGACCATTGTCTTTTGCTTAAAAGTGATCGTCGGAGTTGACCAGCTTTTTGTGTTCCATCGAATATTACTGCTTGTTGATTTAGTGTATCACTTACTGATTACGATTTTGTCTAAAAATTGAAGAGAATCACATTAGATTAAACTATAGACTTTCCTCACATTGACTAACATATTCTTTTTGCGTTGGCAATGGTGAGACACCTAGTTTCGTAGGATCAACTAATTAATCCCATAAGGTTGACATTCGGATTCCATTCGACGACTGGTTCGTCGCTGGTTCGTCAACAACTTTTTGTCGTTGTTTGTGGTAATTCGAATTTTTCTGTACATTGTGAAAGTACGAATTTAGTAGAGCATTATAAAGTAACGCACTTATTTTCATTCGGTGAATCAAGAAGACTATTAGACTCTTTCAGATCATATGACTTTTGCTGTTTCATGACCACTATTCTAAAAAGTAGACAGTTATCCTAATTTTCAAAGCAAATCTTTCAATTAAACATTTTTATTTGGCAAAATCATTATATATTAAGAGCTACATTATTGTACAGCGACTGGGAGTTTTTCTCAACGCATCTGCTATGTCTGTATTGAGCTTCTGATTAGCTTGATCCACCAGTAGCTGAATTTGGTCGACAGATACCTCATGACCTGCTCGTGAAATAAATATTTCCATGAGAGACTGACGCATAGGGGCGATTCTCTCCATTTTTCTTCGAATATAGAGTCGTTTAAAGTTAATATCATCCTCAAATGTCGACATATCGTCATAGTCAATGGCTCCATGAAAGAAAACACCTAATTTACAATAGTTAAATGCTTTGGCACTCGACGGATGCGTGCGAATATTGTCAACAAACTGTGCTAACCGATCTTCTTTGAAACCTTCACAATGACTTAAAACCATCATGCATATATTCTCGAATTTGGCTCCAAGAAATTCCATGATCGAATTGAATACGTCAATATCCTGTGTATGTGTTTTTCCCGCTTCGGACATGAATATGACAATGTTCAACGTAGTGATTTCTTGCTTCACACATCGAGCTGCTAAATCAAGCAATTGTTCGTCTGTTCGTTGATTTTCTTTTTGCTCTGCCACTTCCTGAAGCCCTGCTGTATCGATCATGTTGAGCTGATAGTACAAATTTGTTTGCTTGTAACGTGTTACCAATGTGTGATTCTTGGGATCTCGCGTTCTGGCATATTCCGTATAGGTTGAAGCATACATTGGGTTTTCCAGAGAACGAATCAATGTTGTTTTTCCCGAGTGAGAACGGCCGACGACCAAAATGTTGATTTTCTTTGTCGAATATACTTCGTAGCCTATATCCACTGAAGCGATTTCTTCCGCCAACATAGCTTTCATCGTTTTATTGTTGAATGAATCAGTCTTATCAGTCATTAAACAAGTCAAAAAACAAGAATAAAATGACTCCTGATTTTTATCAAATAAACGCCAATGCTCAGTATCTCATCTTTATTTTGACCTAACAAGCCATTTTGAAAGGAAGAAAGGAAAAACTAAGGGTGTTCGTGTGGCTACCTTTTATTATTACCTTCATTTTCGATTCTTATCATTTTTTTCATTTATGTCAGTGTGGGTTTTGATTTTGGATGTAAGTGTATGTTTTGATATAGGGTGTTGGAGGCGATACAGAGAAACCTGTTAGGGTGTGGGTGTGGGTATTTCTCTTCTCTTTCCAACCACCCACATCCTGTTTTTTTTAATATAATTTAGTGCCCCAGCTCACGTCCGGAAGTAAATCATAAGGAGAAGATTGATAGAATCCAATGTTTCCGTTCGTGTCCTGAGTCAATAATAACGAGATGATTGATATAAATCAATGATTAAGTTTGGGTTTGGAGTTGATAGTACGGTGATGACTGACATAATTGAATAGTTCAATCTTTCAGAGAGTAATATTGATTATTGGATGTGGGTGTGTTAGTTTTAAAATTCTAGGTCCATTGTCACCCTCGCATCATACTCACCCACCCACTCACCCACACCCGCACCCTAGTTTGCACCATACGATCAGTCTAATATCAAACTTCTCAAGTATCACTAATCGGATAAAATCCTCAAAACCCAATATTGCATATTTCTTTTCTTTGACGTAGATCAAATTCACCATCATTACTATCAAGTACAATTGTTCAAATGAATTTGAAAAATATGAATGAATTTCGTTTCTACATTGTAAATGAAATTATTCATTACAAGTCTCAGCTATGATCCTTACAATTAAATCAAACAAAGTGAATTAATCTATGTTTTCTATCTTCAGTCAAGCTCAGCGTCACGATTGAGGGTGTGGGCGTGGATGTGGATGTGGATGTGGATTTTCTCACTGCACCCACATATCCGATGATAGAAAAGAATTTGACGAGATTCTATGCTACTCTATCAGACTTTCAGGTACTGGATTCCGATTGTTTCTCCCTTGGTTGCAGATTGGCCGAAAAGCTTTGCCATTTCGTGGCTATACACTTTCTTCAAGAATATATCGTTAGTTCAGGACAAAAATAGAGAATTCTTGCAGGATCTGGAACGGAAATAGCCAAGATTTACCTACATATATATGTAATATTTGAATGTGAAATTCTAGTGATATTATCACTGCCATACATTGAATGAAAGACATTTGCCTTGTGATTCTATTTCTTTGGTTTTATTTTAAAATTCAAAGTCTTGCGGGCAAGTGAACATGAGTGCTCTATGATTTTATTTTTCAATTGAATCTTACACATAAAAATAAATCGAATAAAGAAAATGTCTATAGAACTGAATCAGGCATAAAGAGTTAAATGAACTCTCAATAATTGTCTGCTGATGGAGCCGGATGATATCGTTTTTTCTTGCTGGATGTTCTGCTTTCCTTGTTCTCAGAGTAAGCAGGCGCCGACATGGACTGTGTTTGCCAAATAGTCTGTGAATCCCGGCTCTGATTTTTTATTTGATACATCGTTTCGCTTAAGCGAGCCTCTAATTCTCTGGCCTGGTCCTTCGCAAATTTCAGTCTCATAACACCAAACGTTCCATACAATATAATATACTTGTTTTTCAGATTGAAATAGTATGACACAAGAAGAAAAAGGAAAATACAAAGAGAAATAGTCGCAATTATTCCTAATACAATAAGGCTAGACACGCTATATCCAATTATCATCAAAATTAAACTCATAATTGTCATGAATAGCCCACTAATTAATATGTATCGATTCGGACGCCACTCATCGATACGAGAAATCCAGTCCAGTGAGATAGCATTATACGTTGATTGATGAAAGCAGCACCAAAATGTTTCCTTCCAGCGAATGAGTAAGCGATGATTGGTAAGAATGGCAATAGTTTCCACACAATTACACAATCCAAAATATCGATACTTGCCTATCATCTTCTCATTGACAGATATGAGAGGAAAAATAGTATCCGCATCCATTTTTAATCTAGAAAGTTACTAAAAGAGGTGAATCTTGGCGAAAAGTAGACTCACATATATCGGAATGACAGTTTTCTTTGCAGTAGCGTAATGCTACAAAGCGTTTTTGAAATAGATAAATATAATGCTATACTTAAACGGGGATGTCTGATGGAAAGATTCTAAAGTGTCAAATCGGTCGTTTAGCAGTCAAAAAATGAAGCTCGTAGACTACAAACCATGCATCCGAAAAGATCTGATTCTTATCTTATTAACTTCAAAATAAATATAAAACTTTGATTTTTTTTCATCAACATTCTGTTAACAGTCTTCATAGCTTGATAGATTTAAGTGTAAAGATTGATAAGCTCACATTTTGTTTTGAAAATAGACTCATCTAATACGAGATGTTTCACTCTATCAGTAATAACTTTTCAGTCTTATGAAGTTATGATTTCTGCCGGTGTACTGGGTGTAGTCATGCGATTTCCATGAGTATATTGAGGCTTTAAGATGTGATTTTATAATATCAGGCAAGGAATGAATCATAGACCCACTAGGTGTTATACACATATTGGGAGCGTTTGTTGCGAAGATACCAAAAAATAATCGAGTACACACTCACCAGTTGTCCAGTACATTTCTCACCGCCAATGCTATGTTACGTTTCAGAACTTCTTTTTCTATCAAATTACTACATTTATTTGAACCTTGACGGAAGTAACCTTGAACTCCTAGTTGCTTGGGAGGACACTACTCGACTGAAGAAAAGAAGCATACCCACAGCTTTTTTGAACATCAAGGCAAGACGTTTCATCATCTAAAGAGAAATTTATTTGAATGTACATACTGAGGGAGATTCTTAATATATTTGGTTGATAACCTATCTTCAAAAGACAGCCTTTATCTATGATGCAACTGTCTGACTTCACCGTTAGGGACTCCACTTGTGTTGATAAAAATGACGAGAAGTTAGGAGAGAAAAGCCATGTTTCTTTATCTATTCAAGGATATCACCCTTCATGTTATGAAAACCTTCATTTATGAAAGATTTACAGGTAATTATTTCAGATAAAATATGTTGCTTGCATTTGACATTGAAGTGAGAAAATAGTTGAACGTTCACACTTTAGAATGTTTGCCAATATTCTTGATTCCGACTGAAATTAGATCGGGTCCAATGACTTTCCGGTGTCTCTCTAGCTGATTTTAGTGCATTTCTCCGAAGGAAAAAGTGAGACTTCTGTTTTTCTTTAAGAGTTCAAGTGAAGTACAATGAGGATGTGGGTGTAGTGCTTGTCGCGATTGTTGATACTGTCTTCTATCATACTCACACCCACCGCCACACTCACTGAGTATTATTACCTAGGATATTTATTATTGAGTTGATCAACAAAATACTAATGTGTTAATCTGTATATCGCACCAGTCGGATTACCACGGATAACTCATGGAATGTTCATCAATAGTTCAGCAATCACTTTTCAAATCGAAATTATTCATCTGATATTTCAAGAATCCTTCCTATGGTCGAGATCATGAATAGGTTATATTGACATTTTAACACAATACAACATAGAAGCAGTATTATGATTGGTTTGATGTGTAAAAACAGACATGGTTGGTATTTTTTATCTCTGCCAAATCGAGCCAAGCCTGGAGTGATTGTGCATGCTAAAATTGAAATTTCAGATTTCAAGTTTCACACTATTGTACATGATCAACCGAATCGATTCTATTTCATCCGACATCTTCAGAATTACTAACTGCGGTAAATCATTTTATAGCCCCCAAGTATCGGCGAAGTTCTGCTTGAAATCGTCTTTTTATGCCTATTGATTGATGCTGGACAGATGAAAGGAAAGAGAAAAATGAAAAAGTAACCAAAAAATAGAAATAGCGAGCAGCTTGTACATCAAGATGTCAGCTGCAGCATCATCTTCCAATGTGTGCGCCATTGTAGTGGTAAGTAGGAACGATACTTGTGCTAGAATACCCGAAGGCATGGAAAGTATTGTTTCGAGAAATATGGGAAGATTATTATCCGTAATTCAATCCATCATCCCCAGAAACGGATCATTTTGATAGCACGCGGATCCATCTTAGTATGGTAACGAATAAGCGTAAATATTTTCACGCGGAAAGGAGTAAAATGCATAAATTTAGATGATGAAAGTATACAAAATCAAAAATATGCGTCTCTTTCTTGTAGTGAGTCATTGATCATGAAATACGTTAATATGTCGTTTGAGAGTCAGTCAGGCCAAAATAATAACCCTACATGGTAGAAAGTGCAGGCAAGAAACTATCAGATGATACATGGTTCTTCAGATTGGAGTGCACTTGTCGATTAATGAGAATGCAGATAAGAACGAACAATGCGCACATGGTGAATGACACATTAAACGACAGAATAATCCAAAACCGATCAGTACGCGATAGAAAAATTTCGACATTGACAAATGAACCACCATCCATTTCATTCTAATTCCGGTTGTAAACCATTAGTGAAAGTTGCGAAGCAACGAAAAGATAATTTACAATACCAACTGAGACAAAACTGTAACTGACAGATCTCATTTTCCTTTCGAATAGACTATATGATACGTCATCGAAAAATATTCGTTAGTTATAGCGTCTGCGTTCGTGTGACTGTTCAATAAAAAAAACTACTACTTATACCCATACCAACACCATCAGGATAGACAAAACTCGATTATAAGAGAATGCTTGTTAGCACAGCCCCTTTGGAGCTAAAATATGGAACTCACATATATGCATTAGGCTTACTAAAACATTTCAAAATAGTTCATCTGAAAAATCTACCTTGATTTCCAAAACCTATAATTAGGTCATTACCTATTTGCTTATGTCTGTAATGGAGTATTAATTGTTAGCTCGTATATTTAACAATGACAGGGACTAGTTTTTATGGTCTGTAATTAAAAAAAGGAAGAAATAGCAGCCTAATTAGACAAGCTTCTAGTTAGCACAATTTTAAACTCATGAATGTCTGTAATGGGGAGGGGGAGAGCCCCAAAAATCTCGCTGTTAAACTTACACTCACCATTTTCTTTGAAAATATATGTGAGTTCCACAAAACCATTGTGAAATTCGGAAACAACATTGACAACTTCAGTAAATCCAATAAACAGTCTCGAGTAGTAAGATAAATTCTCAATACTTTCTATCGAAATCGATTGAAGCGAACGCTACGCTAGAGTGGAATATGAAATACAAGACACTTTCCGCATCCTGTTTGGTACAAAAAAGAACTGGAGTTTTTCGTGAATTTTAGTACTCACATTATACGCACCCAAACCGAAACCCACACCCTGAATGGTATCTTCAACTTTTTATCTATGCCTTAAAGACCGATGGTCGGTGGGCCTTTGGATCAGAGTAAAAATTTCTCATTTATTCTGTCAATTGAATTGTACTTTTTTCACAACTCCAAGAATGTTATCGAGGCATTCTCTCTGATTTTGAATGAGCCTTATTCCGAATTTGCTTATAAGCCTCCAGCCAACAAAAATAGAGATGAATGTATGTCGTTTATCACTAAGAGCGACTTCTCTTCTTTGATTTTTTCTTAACATGTTTTCATCTCATTTCCGTAACAAACATAAGAATAAATAGTTATTCTTACTTTTAGAAACCTTTCGAGAACATTTTAAAAATGCATTTCAAATAATTTTAAGTTCAACAATATTAAAAATATATATAAAATATATGCATAAGGCAAAGATTTATACAAAATGTGCGTCAAGTTAATCTTATGTGACAGTAAGATAAATTGCCTGATAGATTGTTGATCTTCTCATTTGAGCACTACATTTTCCTGCAATCGTTAGCTCGATATACCGACGAGAAGTGACAATATTCTGTAAAAAGTGATTTTTAAAAGCCATACTTCTATTTCACAGCGCTTCACGATCTAGATGCCCATCACCGGCCGGAAAAGGAGAAAAGTATTCAGTAGTATTGCTAGCATCAACGTTAAACACTCGCCTATAGTCGACGTTTTAAGTAAAAAATGAACTTCATGATCATGGCATGTTCTCTTAGAAAATCAAGTGTTAAAAAAGAACACGCGGAGTATATATAATGTTCGTCTTTTTCCATTGCCGCACATCCTTTTATCTAACGAGTTAATGAAATTACAACATAAAAGGATACACGTGTGGTATATTAATTAACTTTCACGAGACAATCTACTTCTCCCTATGTTTTTTATTATTATGAAAAAGAAACGAAAAGATATTCGGAAGGAAAGAAAAAAAGAGTAATCGCTCTTAATGATAAACGACATACATTCATCTCATTTTTTATTGACGGGAGGCTCATAAGCGAATTCGGAATAAGGCTTATTCTTCAAAACAGTCTCTAGGTGACCATCGAGCCACACTCCAATATCTTGTCCAACGGTGTCCATCCACCGAATGTTAGCTCGAATCTTTTCGATGGATGAAAGAAAAGCTCGTTCGGCAATCGACAGGTCGACTGTGTTGGCCATGAATTGTAGGATAGTATCCAACTCTTGTTGCGTATTCACATATTCAAGGACATTTTCGACAATGTCTGATAGAGTGAAACTTACGCTGCCAAATTTGGCAACAAGTTCTGACCATTGTTGGCTAATGAATCGCCACGTGAGCTTTTGTCCACCGGGTTGCAGGCGGATGTTGTTGATAAATCTGGATGCATCTTGGAGGCGAATGTATTCATTGGCCAACGTTGTATTGAGTAATTGCTCAAGAAGAATGGCATTTTTTGTACATGTCAGGGAATAGCCAAAACGATTCTTTTCGACTTGATCGTTGGTTCGTTTATATAGTTCTCGCATGTGTTCATAATCGTCAGTTGTTCCACTTCTAATTCCTTGACAATAGGCAACGGTTCTGGAATCGGGAGCAATCGGGTACGCATCTGGATCTGTGCGCCATTGCCGATATTTTTCAGCAGCATCGTTGATACACATAGCGTATTCATTGGCACAAAGATCTCTGATGATGAGGGCACGCAGTTGAGTCGTGAGATAGTCCAATGGTTGCGGATCCATACCTACCGACCAGCCGAATGAATCATATCTGGCTTCTTCAAGTATTTGTATAAACTTTTGCATATTTTGGTACATGTTGTTTCCATCTTGTTGACTAAACATTGCCAATGGATATTGAATATTGTTTGAAAACGCGGAATAGGGCACGTATTCAGTTTCATTGGCCAAATAGGTCGAAAGTTGTAATGCAACAGTAACATTCAAATCGCCAGATCGAGCTAAATTGAATGAATCATCGATGAGCTGTGCCCGTGTGACACTTGAGAAGGAAGTGCGATCAGTTTTCAATCCATTAATGAGCAATTGCCAATTGAATTCATCATAATTGACACGATAGAATCCAAATTCGTCGACATTGAACACAATCCAGTCAGTAGCCAGTGACACATTGGAAAGAACCCGAGTCTGATTCGGAGCGAGCCAATTGAATGACGACGATCCCATCGAAGTCATATAATTAAAGGGAATATACCATTGAAACGGAAAGAATGTGAACGGGTTCACGTATATTGATGTTTGATTCGATGTTCGAGGATCGAGTAAATACCGTTTTTGCGAGAGTGAAATAGAATTGTCGATGTTGCTACGAGTGACAGTGAGTAGAGGGTATCCTTCTTGAAGAGTCCATGTATCCATGATAGTTTTGACGGTGTGACCCTCGAGTACTGATGAGCTAGCAGCATCGGTTAGAAAAGTCCACAGTTGATCTTGCACAGCATTACTATATTGAAAATGGTTCAAATAGTTGCTGATACCACGAAAGAAGGCTGATTCATTGAGAACAGTGTAGATCATGCGAAGCACCGACGCACCTTTATCATCTGAAACACATAGAAGACAACACTTCCAACATAAAACAAAATATAGAGATTAATGAACGGGATTTACACGAAATTGCATCGAATATTGAATTGATCTCGTCTGGATGAGTGACTTCGACACTGATTGGATGACTTGAGTAGAGACTATCCATTTCCAGAGCTCGATGCACGACGACTAAATATTGAAGACAACAACCGATTGATATTCTTTTCTTTTAAAAAGATTCATCAAATGCTTGCTTACCACTGACAAATACATCGAAAGAATGAAATTCAGGATTTGAATGATTAAGGCCGAGCACTTCGACCCATGAAGCAAAACCTTCGTTCAACCTTCGTGCAAATAATAAGAGAGAAAATGCAACATGATATGAGTAAATCTTTCACTTACCAAATGTCATTCCACCATTGAGGAGTGACAATGTCACCGAACCATTGATGGGCCAACTCGTGCGCCACAACTTCGCCTACTCGTCGTTTATCGGCCAAATTACCAGTAACGTTATTGTAGAGAAGAGCCGTCTCGCGATATGTGATTAAACCCCAATTTTCCATGCCACCTATGCATAGAAGAAGAGATCAACAAATAACTCGTCACCTAATCGAATGCTTACCGATAGCAAAGTCGGGCAAGGCAAAGTGATCACATTTTGTGAGTGGGTATGATATATTGTAGGATTGTTCATAGTAAGGTATGATTTCTGTGCTCACTTGAAGAGCAAAATTGCCTTCACCCTTACGTATTGCTTCAGGTCGCCCACATACGTTTACTTCGATATTCGTCGACGTCACACTCGAAACACATTCAAAGTCAGTAACAACAAATGCAATGAGGTACGTTGACATTGGTGGAGTTTCTTCGAAACTCGATAGCAGACGACCATTGGGTTGTTGTATGGGTTGACTTCCGTTGAGCATGCCACCATTCGATCTAACGACAGTGAAACTGGGATCGTGAGTGATTGATATGTTAAACTTGGCTTTGAATGCTGGTTCATCGAAACACGGAAATACGTTTCGAGCAAGCGTTGGCTAGAAGAAATCAAATAGCGAGAAAAAGAGATAGAGATGTATATTGGCCGTTTTCCATTACCTGCATATGGGTGCCTGCAATATTGTGCGTAATAATCTCGCCCGTGGTTGTATTTGTTACATTATATCGACTTAAATAGAATCCGACCATGTCTCTATTCAGTTCGGCCGTGTGTTCTGATTCGAATACATATTCTTTGTTCGTCACACATCGTTCTCGTAGTTGGCAGATGAGCGTCTCCGATACCGGCATCCACGCCCAACCGGTGATTAGATTGTTGGATGCATCGAGACGTCTCAATGTTATAGAAGACATTTTTAATTGTTTCATATGAATTCGAAACACATTTGTCGATCGATTACAACGGACAATAATGTGAGTACGGCCCATAAAACGTGTATCCGGTTCAACATTGTTCGGATAAATTGCACTAAGACGTACGTCAAAATCGAGTGCATAGTTAGATGGAATCCAATCCAATGGAAGACGAATTTCGATCGTTCGATTCATGAACCATTCTTCCAAATTGGGCTTAGCCTTTTCGATCCATTGAATATTGGCACGAATGCGTTCGATTATCGCTTGAAATTCGACAGCACTCTATATAAAGCGATAATACTTCTGAATGTAAAAAAAAGAATCATATGCTCACGTTATGTGTCGTCTGCTCGACGAATCGTTCGAATTCGTCCAACTGATGTTCGGTATTGAATCGTGCAGTGACATCTTTGATGACATTAATAAAACTCATTGATTTCCCGAAATCTTGAAACAATTGTATCCATCGAGAACGTACAAACGCCCAACATTCGATTTCGACAAATAATTTTTGACAAATTGTTCGTATCCCGGAGAGTGCATCCTGTCGTCGGATAATGTTCAATTGAAGATTTACGTGAATTTCAAGCAAATATCGAATTGATTCGGTATCACGTGTGCATGCTAATGCAGATTGTATTCGTGCCTTTTCTTGTGGATCATTCGATATTTGATATTGATGAAGAAGAAACTGAAATTCGGCTCGACCGCCTATGCGCACATTCGTACAATAGACAACAGGACGATCATTGGGTTCAATTGGGTTATTAGACGGATGATTGAACCATTGTTCAAAGAGAATTTGAGCCCGATGAACACAATCGTCTAAATTGTAGCGACATGCTGCCGATACGATCAAATCTCGATGAAGTGCAACGAGCCATTCGTCGGAGACGGTCGATGATTTTTCTTGCCAACCGAGATGAAAGTAGATGGGAAGTATGAGGTCGATCATATACGATTGAAATTGTTCGTACAGCATGAGATCCGAACTGCTTGATGCAATCATTTGTTCTACGTAGGAAAGACCCGCAAGAATGCGCTCCCAAACTATGTATGCGCGTTCTGCATTAGCATAATTGAGTAGGTCGAACACAAGTGATGTTTGAACGATATCTGTCAAAAAACAAAATGATAGTTATAAATTCAGTCGTGTTTTACTTAACTTACTAGCTCGAGCCAAATTAAATACATCATCGATAAGACCCGCCCGTTCGATAACGGTCAACTTCTCGTGATCGTTTTTGAGTTGTTCAATAATCATCTTCCAATTGTGTGCGTCATAATTAGTACGAAAAAATCCCAATAAATCTGGATTAGCCAAAAGCCATTCGTTCGATTGCACACTTGTACCTGTTGTTACATTCATATGTGGTCGATTGAACCATATGGTGCTTGCCGACAAAGTTGACGATGATTTGAATTGAAGTGGAATATACCACAGATACTGGTGTGGCGATTTAGGTGGTTGTGCCTCAGAATCGAATAAGAACTGGTGTTGAGCTACTGTAACACCTCCAGTCGCATAGTCCCGTGTAACTTGAACGTACGGATAACCCATTTGATTCGTCCACGTACTCATGATCATGTCAAGACTTGTGTTACTCGGTAATTCTAAATTATCGGCAAACATTTGTTCGCCCAATGCTCGCCAGAGATCGTTTTGCATTGCGGTCGAATATAAATGACGTGAGAGGTACCTTGTGATGCCTTTGTTGAAAGTATCATTGGGCATAAAATTGCGCATCATTCGAAGTAACGAAGAACCTTTCGAATAGGTAATCGCATCGAAAATACTTGCCAGTTGTTCGTTGCGTGTGATTTGCATGTTAACCGGATGTGAAAAGGACACAGCGTCATCCTGCATGACGGTAAGCCATCGTTGGGCAATGAACTGTTGCAATAAATTCCATTCTGGATGAATTTTATTCGTACCGACAAATTCCATCCATTTCGCAAAGCCTTCATTAAGCCATAGATCGTCCCACCACAAAGGTGAAACAAGATTGCCAAACCATTGGTGAGCGAGCTTAACAAAAAGAGAGATCAATATTGTGGAGATGGGACAGGACTCGAAATGAACTGGTTTGTCGAATAGATGTCTCATATAAACATTATGATGAATTTAACAAGGAGGATGGGTAACAGCTGAGTTAAATTACTCAAAGACACTCAAACGTCGCTGTTTCCCTCATGGAATGTACTTGGTTAAAAGATTTTGCTGTGCTTTTTTTCCTCCGTTGAGACTTCTCAGAAATGACGTAAAATACGATTTGAACTTTTAGCGCAATCCTTGCAGGATTGAAATGTGAAACACGGTATATTGACACTATGGGAATTTTCTTCCGATATATCTGTGGGCTAGGCCGAAGTCGGAGACGATTCGCTTTTCTGACTACATAGTTCAACTCTCATTTACTGACACATCCCAGTTCATCTAGAACCCTCGGATGGGTCTCTCTGTTTCACCTCATGAACAATGACTAATGCAACGCTTTGCTTGTTGAACGATGACGATGTACGATTGTTATAGAGCAGGAGTGTTTCACGATACATGATGCACCCAAAGTTTTCCATGGCGCCTGAAAAAATAGAATGAAACAATGATGGATGATAGATTTATCCAAGCTCTATACCGGCATCAAAATCAGGCACAGCAATGTGATCACATTTTGGTAGTGGATAGTTAACGTCATATTGCTCTTCAAATTCACGAATATTCTGCGCTGCTACTTCAAGTGCATAGATCAAATCGTCTTTTTTCTCTGCTTGAGCACATACACTCGTCGTAATATTTCCGAAACGACCTGTATCATTCCGCGTCAAACATTCAAAATCAGCGATGACTAATGCCAACAAATACGAGCTCATCGACACTGATGTTTGAAATTGTGTCAATACCCAACCATTGGATTGATTCGTACGATTCTGAACAGGCATGTTGCTCCAGGCTCGATACTGCTGTTCATGTTCGACTGTCACCGCAAAAGTTGCTTTGAGAGCGGGTTCGTCAAAACATGGCAAAGCTCGTCGTGCTGAAATTGGTGCCATTTGTGAGGCAACTAAATATCGTCGTACATTATCCGACGATCGCACATAGGAGCTGACATAGAAGCCGTCCGTATCGTTTCTGAGTTCTCCCACATAATTCAGTGTTAGTATTGGTTGTTCGTTCACTTGGAGTGATTGATCGAGTATGATAGTGAAATAGTCTTGATCTTGATTGAATGTTGTTTTTATTACTGACGCACCACCGGTAATCTCGATAGGCTCTCGTATGATAATGAAGCGTTTGTGTAGAACGATGCTATCAGTAGTGCGAGTCACATTGAGATGAATACGAACTCGACCGTCAAACATGGAAAAGCGAAGATTTTCATTTGTGATATTCATATAGGGCTTGACATAAAGATCGTAGTGGATTGGAACGACATCAGTAGGCAGACGGTAACTAACAATGGATGATTCATTGTTTGAACGAAAGAATGTAATGATTGAAGCGAGATTCGCTTTGTTCCATTCTATGGCTGCATTGATACTGTCAATGGACAATTGAAATTGACGGTATGCATTCCCTGAGTGTAGTAAAGCTCATATCAAAGAAAAATAAGAAAACAAAAACGAATCGTTTACCTTTATCAATAATCGAATCAGCAAACGTTTTAAATTCATCTCGCTGCCGAACGCTAACAAATCGACTCGATACTGCTTCGATGATGTCACCTAAAGTGCTCTCTGATTTTCCCCATTTGTCAAAGAGTTGTGACCAATTGTCCCGAATCCAATTCCAGGCAATTTGATTACCTCGCGGCGAGCGAGCAACATTTTCAATTGACATCGACAAATCTTGATCACGAATAGCTGATCCGTTCTTGAGATGTTGCTCGAGAAACCAAAGAATCAACGATGGATCCTGTGTGCACGAGAGGCCTTTAAGTAGATTGAATGTTTCACTGGCGATCAATTCTCTCTGAAGACGAGCCCATAGAAAGTTAAATTCGGATTGTGAACCTTCGCGAACAACTGTACAATAGACGATCGAACGAACATCAGCTGGAATTTGATTGAGAGTAGGATTCAGATTCCAACGACGATAAACACTGCGTGCTGCTTCTATACATCCTTGATGGCCGTAACGACAGGCAGCCGATACAATGCTTGGTTGAAGTAGGGTTCGAAGCCATTCTGTCGATTGGTCGATGGGAATCCATCCGATCGTGTTGTAGATCGGAAGAACAAGTTCGAGAAAGTAGCGCTCTACATCAAGAAGAATATCATGATTGGCAAGTAGTTCTGTTTGTTGACTCATCGCTGAAAGAGCAGCTGTCCACGGAACATATTCAGTTTCGCTCTTCATATATTGAATCAGTTGATATGCATCAGTTGCATTTATAAGACCTGTGCGCGACAGAGCAAATGTGTCATCGATCAGAGCGCCTCGAGTAATGACTGGAATGCGCGTGTGATCTGTTTGAAGTTGAGCAACAATTAGGCGGAAATTTTGGGGATCATATTTTGTGCGATAGATGCTAAGATAACCCGGATTGGTCAAGACCCAGTCTGAGTCTGATGTCGCGATTAAAATCGTTGCAGATGTATCATTGAGCCACACAATTTCATTGCCATTCGGTAGCTGCGAATAAAAGAGAGTAAAAGTCGGGACATTGCCAATCAAGACATTTGAACATCGACTACTTTCGTTTCTACAACTGAACTGTAATATGACTGTGTCGCACAGACAGGCTCAACTTTAGTGATTGCTGTTATTCTCAAAGAGCTTTCGTGTCGTGACTAATGAAGAAAGATTCACTCGATTCGTTTCTGTCTAGTCTAGTGCGGCGAGAACTATCGCTCACTGAACGAACTATGGCTCTCGAGCTGAGAAAACATCTTGAAACTGGCATCAATAGTCTTCATTTACTTGAGTTGATGTTTGATCAAAGTATTTGAATGGAATCCACCATTTGTCGCTTTTTGTCGTCGTTGAAAAAAAGCTGAAGGGCCGTTGACTAATCGTCATACGACCACCGACACTCTGTCTATTAGACGCATTGTAAACTCGATTGACTTCGACAATCGGATAGCCCGCCTGTCGTGTCCACCCGTCCATAATCCGTTCAACATCGATCGTATTATTTGCAGCTTCACTTAAATATGCCCATAGATCATTCTGCGTTGCCGAACTAAAACTCAGTGCTTTCAAATACGTTCGAACACCACGTTGAAATGTATCAGCGCCTAAAAACATGGACATCATCCGAATGAGTGTTGCGCCCTTGTCATAGGTGATCAAATCGAACAATTGGAAAATATCTGCCGGATTTGTTGATTGAATACTGATCGGTCGCGATGTTGGCAACGAATCGGCTACCATAAATCTGAAGATCTTTTCGACAACAAATTGTTCCTCTTGCAACCACGAAGGTTCGACAAAGTCGGACGCAAGTGTTTCCATGTAATTGGCGAAGCCTTCTTTCAACCATCTATATCCCGAGAATTAGATGTAAAATAATTTAAAAAAGGAAGACTTACAATTCACCCCACCATGCAGGTGAGACTAAATTACCAAACCATTGATGGGCTATTTCATGGGACACCACAGTTGTGATGTATTGTTTTCTTGAAGCTGATACTGTTTTTTCATCGAAAAATAAGCTCAATTCTCGATAGATCAACAAACCTAGAAAGAAAGAAACTTAATTATCGATTCGTTTTCGTTTGATAGTTTGCTTCAATCGAAGAAAAACTGTAGTTCGGCTTGTCCACGTAACGTAACGCTTCGCTCAGCAAGCTTTGGGAAAATGCTGACTATCATACTATTCAATAGAGAATTTAATTCCTTACAAAATAGTTAGTTTATTTTTAACTTTCATTCTTCAAGGGAACTTTTACATTGTTGTAGAGTTTTCAATTTTCTTTACTACCCATGAAAAAAAATTCGATAACATATGCGTTTCAACGCAAGGCTTTTAAAAAACATCGCTATTTTAGCGTTTACACCCAAAAATTTAAGAAAAGAAGGCATTTTTCTTGTTGATTCATTTTTCAGCAGGCTTTTTCATTTGAAAACGCGTTTTAATAAAAGTTATTTAAATGCGTTCGGAAAAAACATCGTTTTTGTTTTAAAAAACGATTCTAAAAAACTCGCTAAACCGTATTATCTTGAACGAGTTTAAACTTGCCTTTAATAACGTATCTTTTACCTAAAAAACAGTATATTTCGGAAATACGTTGCAGCAGTGTTTTTTAACGAAAAGCAACTCTACTAAATTACTTCAGAGTCTTAAATAAAAGAATATTTGTGTTTCAGGCATCATTTCTTTTTTTGGATCTTTAGAACGAAAATTTAATTTGCATAAACTCGCTTTTCAAACAAAAATATATTAAAAAAGAATGGTTATGCACTTTGTTTACTTTACTATACTTTGCTTAGATAATAGCTTAGTTTTCTTGTTGTCTCTCTTGACAGCTTGAATATTTATATAGATATACTATCTAGAAGTTTTTGTCAGTATTTTATCTAGTGATGGATCAAATAAAGAGGTCGATAAATATCTAGATTATACTAAAAATTAAAATATTCATATAGTTGAAAACAAAATAAATTAAAACTATCATTATTTATTATCAAAAGATATTAGGGAGGGAGCAATTTATATTTATAAAATTGATTTGATCCAAATAATAATTTAAAAAAATATTCTATTTTGAATGAGTTTTAATTTCTTTTGAAAGTAACTTATAATTTAGACTGATTTTATACTTAAATTAATGTAGATTGACATTAAAAAGAAATTGTAAAGAAAATGCTAAACCCAGAAACTATTGAAATTAGCTCTAGATATATAATAACATTGATATGGAAAGGGCAGAGAGATTATTTCGAAACTTCGGTGCCCAATAAAATACAAAATTTCTTCTTATATTCACTAAGTGTAGACGTGTAATTTCTATAATGTTAACTGCAAGTATGGCACAACTCTATCAAGTAAATCAATTAAAATGTTCAAATTTTGAATTTATTCATGATCGCATCGTAAAATATTCTCAATGGTTTCAACACGTCTTATCGAAAAAGATAAGGTGTTGCGACTGAGGAAAAACGCAATTTACAAAAAGCATTCTAGATTTACTTTTTGCGTTTTTATTTATGAAAAACACGTTGAAACGCGTTTTATACAACATGCTAATGTTCTAGCGAAATCATGTTCGAGAAAAAAGAACACGTTCAAATGAACATTTTTTAAAATTTTTTCCATGGATAGGAACAAGCTTCCGCGTTGATGTCGCAATTTGAATTTTTGTACCATGGTTATGTGTAGAGAAAACAACAATGACTGAGAACGTCACATAGATCTGAGTATGTTAAGTGGTCTGAAATCTATCGACAAAAAACAGTGTCACAACGTTACACTTGGAAAAGTCAATTTACCGTAGTTTTCCATGGCACCAGCACCAAAATCGGGAACAGCAAAATGCTCAATTTTTGGTAATGGATAATCAATGTCAAAGTATGTATTAAAAAACTCCAACGCTTTGTAAGCTACTTCATCAGCATAGACTAATTGTGGAAGAATGTCAACTCGTCCACATACTCGCGATTTAGTGTTTTTTGAACCTATAAGGCGATCTGGCCGACAGGCAAAATCGGATATTGGTGCCATAATGAGTGCCAGAAGGAATGTGGACATTTTCAGTGTCGGTGTAAAGTGTGAAAGTGTTCGTCCATCACCGAATGTTTCGATTCGTTCAATTTCTCCATTGGACCATACAGCATATGAAGAATCGTGTAGGACACTGATCTTAAAAATGGCCTTTCGAGAAGGCTCATCAATGCACGGAATGACACTTCGAGCATAGATCGGTTCCATCTGAGAGGTCATAAAGATGCGATTCTTCTCGTTGACATCGACATAGTCACTTATGTAGAGGCCGTGCAAATCATGAGTAATGTCACCCTCGTAGACAATACGAATTGTATAAGTGGTTCCCGCTATAAAGATAGACGAAAAGTTAAGTATCATAAACTCGTTATAATCATCATAGGACCACGAAAGAAACGTTGGCATCGAGCTGGATGACGAGTTGACAATGCGTACAGTTGAGTTTTCAATGAACAAGTCTTTCATATGAAGAATCATTTGATTGGTGGCTTCGACGCAAATGAACGTATAGAGAAGATCTCCTACAATGAAATGGAACATAATGAATAACGATTGTTCCTATTACATTTTAAAACTTTTCGAAATAGATTCCAAGTCTATATTTCTAGACGAAAAACTCGACCACATATTGTCGAGAGTCAAAATATGAACGGTAAACTGTTAGGACTATACACCTGAATTAAAAATCTCGGTCGCCATCGATACTTTTTAAAATTATCCTTTGCCTATATATCTAATAATGAAACGAGCAAATTTCGAGATCTAGTCTGACCTATTGATATATATGTCTATGCTGCTGCTGCTGCTGCGGCTCCCGTTCTAGTACAAATGGTCTCTACTGACTAATTGTTCGCGAAAGTGAACATAGACTTATAATATAGTCATTTTCAATTAAGTTTATATTGGAAAAGATCATTTTTTGCATAAAATTACCAAAACTCATTATCTCCTTGGAATCATTCCAAGCACTCTTTTATAGTGAACTTTTTATAGCAGACGTTATTCCCTTTGAAACTGTCGCATTATCAGAAATCTCGCACTTTTCAAGTACATCCTATAAAAAATTGATGTTATCATATTCCAGTATTCAAACGCTTTCAAGCTCCTACTCCACCTTAGAATCGCGTGTAAAATTCCCTTCACCTGTAAATCTTTCATTGACAAGATCGGGCGCAATGGTCAATTGATAAAATAGCTGTTGTAAATTGTTTGGTATTCGTTCAACAGGTGGAAGAGGAGTAATGGTGGTTGTTACTTCATGTGATGTTATTGTTTGAAGTTGACTAGTGGTAGTGATTAATGTTGTAGATGCTTTATTATTGATACCATTTTTGCTCTTTTGATTAACACCAAAATAGATTGTCAATACCAATAGAACAATAAAAACAATAGTAAGCACGAACACCACAGGCCAAAATATTTTCTTGGCCACGTGATAGGTATTTTTCCATGCAGGTTTTTTATTTGGATGGTCGATATCGAAAGTCTCCATCTAAAATCCGATACGTATATAAATGATAAGACTAATATACTTGATGAAATTTTTCTTAATGTGAAAATAAATTAAAAAACACTCCCGCGAAGTGGAAATCAGAGTTATATGCTTATAGCAATTCCGATATTTTAATTATGAACATTTGATCAACTCGTTCTTTGTTGTTTTCTTCTTGAGGTACTGTGAATGTCGATAACGAATGTCATCCAGTAGTTTAGTATCTGTTTCACGCAAAAAAAGATGGTTCTTTCTTTAAAGAGACTTCTTCTTACATTGGAACTGAAAGCGCCGTACTGAGCAGAAAAGTTTGTGTAACGATTTCTGATATAAGGAATGTTAATGCTGATGGCAATACAGTTTACTCGATTCTTCAAATCATCAATCGCATCGTTTCACATACACAACACACCTTTATATAGGCAACGATGAGAGAGAACGAAAGAGCATGAAACATAAGCACAAATATCAATGGTATTAAAATAAGAGCAAACGATAAGAGCGATATCTAACATAGAAGGATGTATTAAGAAAGCGTTAAACATCACCCATAAAATGCACTCCATTGGGACTGTTACAGTGTGCATATCGTAATGTGTGATCGTCTTGCTTTATTTCATTTATGTCCTCAAATGATTGTCAACGACCTAGGAAACTCTTTTTTTTCTATAGATTTTGCACCAGTTTCCAGAGCGTTTTTGGTTATTAGTAAGTACAGAGTATCTCGGTGGTTCGATATAGTACCTTTTTCCAGTGAAGAGAGACTGCTGAAACAAACCTATGTCGTTCAAGGTGCGCACAATCACTGTGAAATTGTTATAGTCTATCATGTTAACTACAGTTAATCTTTATATATGCGTAATAAACGCATGTCATCGTTACTATTAAATGCCTGTTCTTTCTCTCTCTCTCTCATCTTGGTCTGTTTGCTTTTAAGATAACGTAAGACTTAAGGTGTCCACCCGATTCTGTTGTAATAAATATTCAATAAAACACGATTGAGTGCAGTTTCCTACCATTCTACAGATCTTCTATATATGCCTCATCATTGAAATGACAAACGCACCGATTTAGTATTCAGGTGAGATTAGATATAAGAATTACAAAGCATTTACGAGCCAACCATACTTGATACACTTGTTAATGATGCTTAATTTTACAGCCTGCTTAAAAGTCCTTGAGATATCAAAGGATTGATGAGATGCAGATTCGTCGAGCAAGAGACCTTCAGCAAATCTCTCACGCTTTTTTTCACTATCTGCGCATATAGAGCATGTTTGGTAGATTTCTGTTAATGTATTCATTAGTGTTACTCTATTTCAGTGGAGAAAAACGAGATTCATTTATGACATGTTTCGACACGTGTACGACTGGTTGAAAAGGTTCACTTTACTAAAATTCTCCAGGTTCTGCTTTTGGATAGAAAATATTCCCATTGCGTAGAGCATTATTTCCTCTTTCGAATGCTATGTATATGTACCGCAAAATACTTCGGATAAGAATGATTGTAGCTGTTATCCTTGGTACACACTAAGACATATATCAAACTTTCTCAAGTTGGTTCATCAATTTTGAACTGCTTGTAGTTAATCGCTTGACTCAAATAATGCAATACTAACTTAATTTGCTTAATATTTTTGGGTGTGGGTGTGTGTATTAGTGTTATAGCTATATTTGGTACGTGAATACCCACACCCAATATGATGCGGAAATTCGACTAATGACATGAATGAAATAACAACAAAAAAACTTGTGCCAAAAAACATGATAGTTATTATAATGTGACGAATTGAAATTGAAAGATATTTGTTTTAATCCAGCATAAGAATATTATCTTTCTTCTTTCTATTATCTTCATGTCGTCGTTTGTATGAGACTCGTACAAAGACAACCAGGATAATAGTTAATGCATTACTGATAACAACAATTAAATTCGTTAGTTTATATCGTTCACTAGTACTGCACAGGAGAATAACAGCACTATCATTGATCAATTGTACGATAACCGAGGCTAAAAGAGATTTTGGGTGAGGAAACATGATTTCGGCCAAACTTTCATAGGTTAACGGCGATGCAGCTCCTCTACAAAACCCAACAAGAATAAGAGCTAGTTCAATAGTAATTGGTGTTTAACTGAAATTTAACTGAAAATTGTCACCTGATAAAAAAAAACTCGTACGAGCAGATAATTGAGACCATACGAGTGAGAGTAAACAGCTGATCAATGCCAATACAATAAATGTTTTAAAAATGAACGTTGAAGTTGGGGTCCATTAGCCAGAGTACTCATGCAAAAAGCATCAACCATTGCTCCCAAAGATGATCCAAAACTAAAACATCCTAATAGAAATATAGACTAATAATCATGATACCTACGAGCCAAAAACTAATGCTGTTATATTATTCTTTAATTGATGTACAATCCTAGTGGAGAAGACCAAAGTAACATAGACATACCATCATGTCGTGTGTCTTTGATATTATAGTAGATTGTCGTAAAAACAGAAAGAATCTGGGTGGATAATGAAAGCAACTTTATTGTCATTCGCATAATCTCAAGAAATACAATGCAATTTTCGAGTAAAAATGGCTCTACATATCTTTACTGTGAAACGTTGTCAGATAGAGTTCTCTTCACGACAATTGTTAAAACAGGTAATTTTTTTCTCAAGCTGGTCTCTCTATCAAACTCAAATTCTATTGTGGGGGAGAAGCTGAAACTTTTTCACTGGATATTTTAGCCCTCTTTTATGGTGATGTTTGATATGTTAGGATTTTAAAATGTAGATACTTAGAAAATGTTCTTCAAAGCTAAAAACGCCAACTATCTCATGGTAGTAATGTATTCTTTTCAAAAAGCAGCTTTGCTATAAATCCGCAAATTTCAAGAAAGGGTCAATATAGATAATGAAAATTTTCAAAACTCACCAGTCTGCTGTTCAGAATAGTTCTCAAGAGCGAGAATTGTAGAAAATATATGATAGCAGCAATAGTAACGAAAAGTGCTAGAGCAATATGAAAGTACAACAGATAAGGCAGATTCATAGGGCGAGTGACAATTGATGAATTGGTAAGAGAACTCATAGTCGCACCGACGTTATTGACTATAATAGCCAATATGGTTACACGTATTCTCCCATTGGGACCAAACAAAAGACATGACCATTGAGAAACAGCTGCCATTACTAAAGAACCACAAGCACAATTAAGAATCTGGCTAACATGGAGGAAAATATCAGAGATGTTTCTATATTGTTGATTCGAGAGAAAAATAAAAATCAAAGCTACGATTCGAATAAGAGTGCCCATTAAGCAGAGGATTGTTGCAATAATAATAATAATAATATGTCGGAAACCATTTCGTCTGTCAAGAAGAAAATAGACAAGTGGAAGACAGAGAACGGGCACAGTTGGCCTCCAATTAAGGCGACAATCAACAGTGGTCGTTGAAATCTCATGATAGATTTGAGTGCTTGGTGAAACAGGAGAGAACGTGATCCAAAAGGCAAATTGATTGAAATAGAGCAAGAACGAAAAATCGTCGATGACAGAGTTTATAAATCTCGGAATTTGATTTAGGTAAAACAAGAATATTATCTACGTTCATTTTTATATGAATCAATAGCAATTTTCAACATGAAATCATAAGAAAGAATCACTCGATGTAAACACATTTTGAATGATTATAGTTACACATATCAAAAGGTCTGATAAGAAAAGAACAAGCAATGAATACGTTGCAAATACTACTCATAACAAGTACATTTTGTTTTAAAAATGAGGGAAATATTCAAAAAAGACTACTTGATAAAAAAAAGATGTTTTCGAGTTTATTTACGATATCAAATAAATTAAAAGGATCCATAGTCGATGAACTGGACGTAAACATGAACGATGGCGTACATCGGTACCAAAAACTATCATCGAAACACAAGCTATTCCACATAATATCCTTGAATGTACATGAACGAATACGTTTTAGAAATTCATATCTATCTTGGTCACTATAATGAAAGCTTGCAACTTGACCAGAGGATCAAAGATCAATTGAAGAAGGAAGACATTGAAGGTACTGCACAGTATTGTCATTCTAATTTTTCAGGCAAGGCATATTTTCCATTGGGATTCGGATGCAGTAATGCGTTTATTTTTAGAATGGGGGTGTGGGTGTCTAGTTATTCTCCCCACACTCACATTCCACTTCCAGTTCTTTCAAAACAACTTATGTCGAAACTCATCTGTATGTCGAATCTCACAAACATCTCTGCAAGCTTAAAATCGTAGCCTTCTTTCCACGTCACAAAAACCGGATCATTTTTAGTGGTAAACCATAGGTTTCCTCTCTGTTTTCATTCCATGGCTCGATTTTTACCATGGAAGTCTCTTAAATATGATATATTTCAAAGTATATTCAATCTGAGGTATTATTTACAGTTGGCTGGCTGGTGTTATACTCCTGATTTATTCATAAAAGATCGATGTATACTCGATTTTGGCTATGTATATAGCTTCTTTTTCAACGATGATAAGAATAACGAAATGAATAGAAGAATCTTTCCTTCACAACAAGCGCAGAGCGTGTTGTTATTAGAGTTTGAAGTACAAATGTTTGCCTTCCGTCATTTTTCTCTATCAGTGATATGTTTGACATTAGCTAAAGTAACATGAAATCAAAAGAAAAAAAGAAGAGAAAATAGAGGATAACGGAGAAAGAAAAGACAACAATGAATGCATACTTTGTGACTTGCATTATTGATGTGGTGCATAAAAACACGAACAAATGTGTACTCCTAGGCATTGTACCCTTTCACGTGTTTTTCGTCGTTATCTCTCACTTCAAATTTGTTATAGCATAAAGTTCATTCGGCAGACTCAATAGTGCATTATGTTGGAGGCGCAGAGCTACGAAGTTGCTATCGGCATTACCTACGAATATATTTATGTGAAATCGAGCAACGTTGACCAGATTTCAAAGGCGACCTTTTTATTTCTCCACGGTTTCCCGTCGTCATTCCATTGCTGGCGTCACCAAATCGAGTATTTCTCCAAACAAGGCTACGGATGTCTAGCACCAAATATGATGGGCTATGGAAAGACCTATTCACCACTGGACAAAGATGAATAAAAGACCAAAACAATGGTCGAACATCTTATTGCTCTCCTTGATCACTTAGGTTTAGACAAAGTCGTTGTCGTTGGGCATGATTGGGGTGTTCGACCAGCGAGCCGTTTTGTTTTATATTATCCCGAGCGTACATTAGGTCTTGTTCTTATTAGTGTCGGCTATCGACCACCGGCGAAACTTGATCTTGACCAAGCATTGGTGATATCAAAGAAAGCTATTGGGTACGAAATGCTTGGCTATTGGAAATTCTTTGATTCTGACGATGCTGCAACGATTATGGAAAACAATGCAGACAGCTTCATTGATCTTGCCTTTACGAGTGAACCGATACAATGGAAAACAGATTTGGCTCCGCTCGGAAAGATACGGGAGTGGATAGAAAATGGAAAAAAAGCGAATCGGGCTTCATATATGGCAGAAGACGATTACAAAACATTCCGTCAATATATCGTTGTGGGAATGCAGCCGAAATTGAATTGGTACAAATCAGCGATTACAAATGTCGACTGGAATGATGAAATGAGCCTTGATCCAACAATTAAACGACCAACTCTTTATATTGGAGGAACAAAAGATTATATATGTCTTATTCAAGCTTTTGCAACACAAAAGCAATACATAACTGACTTGAAAGTAATCGAATTAGAAGCATGTCACTGGATCATGGAAGAGAAGCCAGACGATGTCAATCAAGTGATTAACGAATGGATCAAAGGAATCTTGTGAATCCCGTACGTCATGTGACAGTTCTAAAAAAAAAGTGAATTGTTCATTTATTCTGATTAAAATAAAAATGATTTATGTAACTTCGACGGAATTTAGACTGTTTGAGCTTGATTCCTTCGCGAAAAAGGAATGAGTAAGAGGTTATGAAGGGAAGAATGAGTTCAACGACTTTCTAATAATGCAGGAACCACAAAAATGATAGCAACGGCAAGAAAATAGAGAGGGAAAGCCATGTACGTGATGTGACTCTGTGGGGTGGGACACTGTCAACACAACATAGCGTGGTTGTGCGTTTGCAACTAAGAACAAGATATACACCGGCACCCAGACCCTGCTCGTGTTTTTATAAAACAAGCGAAAATGAGATGAGTTAGAAAGATAAGATGTTGATTACACATAAAAAAAAGAAGCGGCTAAATAAGGCTCATTTTATATTATCTCGAAATGGTGAAATGTCGACATTCTGATTACAGATAGAATTCAGCTATTTATTATTCTTAAAACTTCCGCTGATTTAACTACAATCTTCAATTACAATGAGCGAATGCATCCAAAGATCGAAAAGTTCGAATCAACAAGTGACCTAAAATAAGGATATGGCATGAGAATGCTAGTAAAAGTGAGAGTTTCATAAGTTTTTCAACACGTAATATAGTTGTAACACAACCTAATGGACGTTTCTTACTGTCTACAAGTAGTTTAATATCGTGTTGTGCTTGCTCCAATCCTAAAATAAATAATACCGCCGATTTTGGCACAAAAAAAACATGATGTATCCTTTTGTGTGCTTTTTTTTAGAAATGATGATTATGTATCTGTGGTTTTTACTGTCAATAATAATAACTCCGTGTTCAATGTTGCAATGCTATGAGTGTGAAGCAAAAAATTACAATTTTCTTATAACAGTCGATAATATTCCTTCTACATTCAATTGTACAACAATTGTTACACCGAATAAATTTTGTTCATTGGATATTTGGACTACAGATAATGGAACAAAAAGTGATCTTCGTGTAAATGCATTTGATACTGCAGAAAATAAAAGCGTCCCGTATGTTTTGACTGGATTTACTCAACATAATAGTGGAAATTTTTCTACGTACATTTTGTATCATTGTTTAACCGATAATTGTAATAGTCCTTATGTCGTTCTTAAACGTTTGATTGAATCAACAAAAACTGAAATCAAACCACCTAGTAAATCATTGGCTGGTCAATCAAAATTATCAGCGTCTATCGAATGTTTTATCTATTCAAATTTTACAAATTCAAGTGAATGCAAGCCAGCGCGTCGAGCCACAATAGAGCAAGAAGATTGTTCATTTTGTACAACATTTATTAATATTGACCCAAAAAATTTACTAACAGAAAGAGTATGTTCATATTGTGAAAAATCTCCAGAATCGATTGAAAAATGGAAATATATTGATGGAAGAATTCATTTGTTAAATGATCGTATTAGTTATTTAGATTACGCATCATATGTGTGTAATACAACGAACGAGTGTAATTCATTGCAAAATATTAAAAATATACAAAATTCATATAAAATTCAATTTGACTTTGATAAGTTTCTAGGACCTTCAAGTATTGGAAATAAAATATACTCTACGAAGTATATCATTTATGTTTCAATGGCTTTACACTTCATGTATGCTTTGTGAAACACTATACGCTTTCAATTGTATGGGTTCACTCTCGCATCCGTTTCAATGTTTTTAATAAAAATCTAAAATATGGATTTCTAAATATGTAAGAGAATTTCTATTAAAAAATCACTTTTATTTTATTTCTCACGGTGGTGAGCCACGAAAATTCTAAATTTACAAAAAGCAAAAAGCTTTTTGAAAATACAATGAAAAAAACAAGATCTATATTAAGTGACCTTTTTCGTATTTACTTCCATTTGAACAATATAAACTTACAATCAAAGCATATTAACCATGCAGAAAGCAGTCTTTGTATGGTTAAATACGAAAACACTGTTTGCACGTTTGGAATTGTTCATTGTAATTAATATTTTTTCCGTGAAGTCTGTTACCAAGTAGGTTATACTTTTATTTCTGTTGTGTCTTATTATCAGTTAGTTTCTCAATCGTTTCAACTGTATGGCTATTATCGTAATTATGCTTCTATAGCTGTAGTAAAAGACTATATATTCCCTTTTGTCATACTAGTAATATCTATTGGTAGTCGTACTTATAAAATATAAAACACGTTTTGTACTTGAAGAGCAGATAATGATGTCTGTGAAGACAAAAACACAGCATTTTTGTTTTATATTCGACTGGATTATTCACAACAGATCTTGAAATTTCACAGCATCTCGGAAATCTGTGTAAACATTCTTCTCCTCCATAAAACTGCAACTATATATTTCCGAATACCAATAGCCATTTCTTTCTATTCCCATCCATTCCTATCCATTCTCTGCCATTTCCATCTATTCCCAACCATTCCCATCCATTCCCACCCATTCCCACCCATTCCTATTCATTCGCATCCATTCGAATGGCTCCGAATGGATGCGAATGAGCCTTTTCTCCCTTGCACAATGGCATACATCCATCTGTCTCGTTTGACGGATTATTTTTTTTTTTTCATTTCTCTCCTTCATTCCAAACTAATTAATTTGAGGACAATTTTGGCTTCTATTATTATCATTGAAACATAATTCTATACGAAGATAAAATAAGGGGTGCGCAGAATAAATAAGCCTCTTGGTATTTGTTAAATAACTTTCTTTTTCATTCTCTAAGTTGAAAATCACAAAAATTATTTCTTCATGATTTTTCGTTGGCTAGTAACGACAAAAAGTAAACAAGACAGGCAGATTGAAGTCCTTGAAAAGCTCTATCGATCAATCTGAACTATACAATTTTCACGCTCATCCTTGCAGTGTACTCCAAATAACATCTCGTTGAATCTTCAGTTTCAGCGTTCTTGAGAAAATATCATCTTTTGAGGTCAGAATGTTTTTCATTTTGATGAAAAATGCGCATCTTGAGGAATGGCGCAAATATTCTCTACATTCACACCCACACCCACATCTACACCTTTTTTTTTATTAAAAGGCTTCCTTCTTTCTTTAGTATACTATTCATTTAAATTAAAGCATATATTTTTATGATTAATGAAACGAAAAGTATTATAGCGCACGCATCGAAAAGTATGGTTGTCAATTACGAGTTGCATTCGAACTAACACGGCCGTTGGCAACCTAAAATATCGAAAAAAATAGCTTAGATTCTCGCGGATTCTGATCAGTTTTTCGATTCGTGCAAAAAATCAAGGCAAATTACTTACAGCATCCGCAGCAAGCTGCTAACCAACACGGTGTCCATAGCCCACCAGTTAATAACCAAAGTATACAATGGCAACCATGTTGAACATCTGTGTTCTGATTTTGCATAATATAAATTGGCTGAATGCCTGCTTGCTGTGGCTGTGAAATGACAGGTGTTCCTTGGGGATAATTGTGATAGTTTGTTGCCATTCTGATTTTCTGTGATTAGATCTAAATTGAAAGATGGGAAAGCATTCGACGTGGCCTAATCCAATGTAAAGCTAAATAGGCCTGCTAGTGATTCCAAGTTGGAAAATCTAAGAGTTGGGCCGCTATGAAGTTTTGGGGGAATATGTTTTTCCAAAGAAATATGAAATGCCTACAAAATAGAAATGAATTTTATGAAGGATTTTTTGTATGTTTACAAAGCACAAGAGAAACTTGCTCGTTTTGAGAAGGCGACTTTCTATTTTTGAAATGAAGTGTGCCACATTTCGCAAATCTTTATAATACCACAACATGCTGTGTTGAACCGCAAGATTAGCTTTTGCAGAGAAAAGCCTGTTATATTGAATAACTTTCTCGAATAAATGTCATATTATAACAAATAAAATTGGGAGAGAAGCCTTGCAAAAGCGGCTTAATCTCTATCAGCCACTGGTTGCATGTTATCAGACTGTAGTCAATATGCGAAACGTTTACTATAATACTTCAAAAGTTTCATAATTAGACTTCAAATAAAATCGTGGTTTTTCAAGTTAAAAATAGCCTAAACGAATGAATCAGAAGAAGTAAATGACCGAAGTGATTTTTGTCAATCAATTCCTATCAGACTCACATTTTTAAACGGGTGTGGGGGTTGATGAAAAGAAGGCCAGGGAGTACACCCACGCTCTCTATGCGTTTTCTTAAGACTTGTATATCTGAGGAATTCACTAACGAGTTATATAGTTATCTCTAAAGCAAACCATAGGGATTCCTGCTCAGTCTCTTAATAAATTCCCAAGAACCCCTCTCTGGAGTTTTTGCATAGTCTAATCAGGAAATCCCGATGGATTCGTTATAGGCGCATCGACTAGGAAATCGATAATGATCAAATTTTATTTACTTGTTTTTGTGGTTTAATTTATGGTAGTGTATCTGTTAGTTCTGTCGGATTATCAATCTGAAACGAACTGTTTTTTCTCGATTATTAGATCCTATAACGAAATAAATTATATGGCAGGGATTTATTGCATGCTTATAGTTGACACAACAGCTATGAAAAACTCTTACCGTGCGACCAAGAGAATGAAAAAATCGGTTTCAATTTTTTCTATTTATGAAGCAAGTAACAATCATCAGGGGCCGCGGAAGCGCGGGGTGTGGGGAATGTAAACCCCCAATAATTAAAAATTTTCAATTTTTTCCGTCAACAAGGGTAAATTTTCTGTACTTTTTTAGTTTTTTTTGCTAAACTTTGTTGAAAACATCCTTTACACCGCTCCCCCCATCTTAAGGTCGTTCGCGCAGTCCATGATAATCATAGGCGATAAGTTTGTTTGCCACCCGTAAATTTTCTTTGATTATAACTTCAATTGAATGACACAAAAATGACCGAAAACAAAAGAGGGAACGATAACATAGCGAAGAAAGAAAAGTGATTTAGAAAAAGCGAAAGATAAAATGTCGAAAACCATAATGTCGAAAAAATATATCGAACTCCACTATATATATATGCTGCATTTTATTCTCGTTCTTCGAAATAATCGAAAAATTCTTTGAAAAGAGGGAGATACTCTTTTAAAGCACTATTCGCTATTCTTGTATGTTTGAACGCACTTTCAACCAAAAAAGTATGGGCATGCATAAAGAAAAGAGAAATTGCCAAAAATGCTTATTATGATCCGCCAAGGATAATGACCATGGAAAGAACAACAAGCTTTTCTCTGTTTTAATGCATCTACATACTTCTTTCGCTGAAAATGCGTTCGAAAGCACAAGAATAACAAAGCATTGACTTTTTTCTACAATCAGGAACCCTGATTCTCATCCAAACAAGCCCACTTTCTCTAGATTTTATGTTTTCTTTTGTGCGTCTAAACGCATGTTCGAACATTTTTGTTTCCCTGCGATCATTTTAAAATATAGCTGAAAGAATGCACACAACATAAACGAAAGATACAAATTGAGAAAGATACGTAGTATCTTGTTTTCTTTTCTTTATTATGTATCATTTTGTTGTTAATTTAGTATAATGTTTGTTGACATCTAATAAAAGCATCGTATCTTTTACCAGCAACAATGAAAGCAATCCTCTGTTCGTTTTACCGGATTTTATTTATCGAATGAGAAAAGAAACATTATTAACAAAATATTGAATTTTCGAAAGAAACGTATACAATGCATAAATAGAAAAGGAAATACAGCAGGCTTTTTAAAATCAAGTGGTGATCATCAGTCCTCGAGCAAATGTCTCAATAGTAGCGAGTTATAAAGACGTTTTATCAAGAAATAGTGCTGAAAAATATAAAATATAGAAGAAAGTTGATTTTTTCGCTATTGAAAATTGTAATTTTATTGTTCACGGTTGCTGTATGGATGGACCGTTGATTTTATTTTGAGTTAACTAAGAGACTTAATTAATCGGCTTAACTTAACACTTAATATTAAATTATAACGTAAAGCGCCACCTCTAGAGTGGTGTACACTTTGCTACATCTCGAATCGTACGAGTTCTGGTGATCATAATCATTTATCCGATGGATGTGGGTGTGGGTGATTTGGTAGCGGAGACTCACACTCACACCCCACACTTCAACTATACAAACATTGATTTTCATCGACACTATGCTTTAATGTATGTTTAATAAAGTAAAATGAGTGAGAGGACGTCGGTATTTAAATCTTACAGTCCGTGCTACTTCATCTGCAATGTATTTCTCTATGATATATCGATTAGTTATCTTATCTTCTTTCAATTAATTATAATCAATCAAAATGAAAAAGAGCCTGCTGAAAAAAATAAAATAATCGTTATTTTTTTAAAATATGTGTGACTATCCGACGGAAAAAATTTCGAAAAAATCGCAGTCAACCGCGGGATTTTATTGTTATCGCGGTTCTCTCATGATGCAACGCGGTGTCCTAGAAAAAACGCGATGTACCTCACCGCGTTTCAACGAGAACGCGATGCGCCTCCCTGGCACCGCGGTATTATGAACCGCGGTTAGTCGCGGTTTTATGAAAACGCGGTGATCATGTGTGTCAACGCGGCAGTGTAAGTCGCGTCTTCATGAAACGTGCTGAGAAGATTCTGCTTACGATATTCAACACATTCTGTGCTTGAAATTTTGAGTACCTCGGCGACCTTTGATTAGGTTCGGAGTATATCTTCATAAATGTGATATGAAGTCTTTTCAACACTGAAAAGATTTTTCAAGAAAAACCGCGGTGTCATAGATCGCGTTGAACTAAATGGCAAGCGTGGTAATCTGCAACACGATTGGTCGCTGCATTAGCGCTACAGTGAATATTGACAAGTATTGCCTTGACGTAATTCGTACGATACTTAGTTTGTTACTTCAGCAATGTATAAGAACAGAAATGATATCGTGTGCACTTTACTATCTGTAACCTATTATAAAGTTTAATATGAACTTCGTCGCTGCAAGGCGACTTTGAAGTATTGGAGCTTATAGTTCACTGCCCCACGAAAGATAACTCACCTGAGTATATCGAAGTGATCGGGTCACCTGTAAAAATGCGGTATTCCGAAGCCACGATTATCATCGACTTTTCTGCGTTTTTTAAAACCGCGTCTGATCGTGTCTTGGAGAATTCGAGTACTAACGCGTTTAAAAAAACCGCGAGAGTTTGTTCGTTTTTTAAAAAACCGCGGTTTTCAGCGATTTTTTGAGAGACGCCTAATAGGTCTGACTCCCGCGTTTTCCAAATACCGCTTGAAACCGCGGTTTTCAATACCGCGGGTAACCGCGTTTTTTTAACGAAATGTTTTTCGTGGGTAATAGTCAGACGCATGTGATCATATCGGCAATATATTTTTTTATCAAAACTCTACAATAAGTTCAACTTTTTTGATGAGTAAACAAGATTTGGAACTCATTGAGGTTCATGACATCAACTTGGATACACGTCAAGAAATATAGAACAAAATACCAGATCAAGTGAATACAGCAAAAGAAAGAAAGGTTTGACCTGAAGAGTGAGAAATTAGTAGAACGAGAGGGATAAAGCAAGAAAATAAAACAAAAACACATTTGAAAACGTTACCTATACATTTGTTACGGCTTCACTTGGTAAAACGGAAAACTTGCACAGGAAATTTTTTATAACTGATTGTTCAGCATTCCTTTTAACTTTTGTTTCAGAGAAAAAATATAGGATGGTAGGGGAAATTAAAAAGCTTTTCTTTCCGAGAAAAGCTGATGGGAAAGTAAAACAAACTAAAAAGCGTTTCTTTCCAAGAAAAAAGAAAACAAAACCTTTCTTTTCCTTTCCTCTCTGAAAGTAAAAGGGAAGTACTACCCCTAGTAAATAGTGCACTGTGTCTTGCCATTTGCCATTTCAAGCATATATTGTGAGCAAATATCTATCAAATTTCATCGAGCATTTTTTTTATTCAAAAATAGCTAAATTTTTGATTGTCGCTGTAACGATTCTTGAGTTTATTATCCAAAAGAATCCCTGTCTTTCCTGTCGTCCACTCTTTATACGGCGGTCGTGGAACCAAAGAAGGAGAGAAAGTATCTTATACAGAGAAAGGAAAAAGAACACTCGTTGAGTATCAACAAGAACGGTCGAAACATAAGATAAACTCATTAGTGATATATACTCATATAGCGCATAAGATTATATTGAGCATGATGAACGATAGACACGTGATACGGTAATTAGCACTAGATAAATATGGAAGAGGAAAGAGTAGCATATTAGACAACAACGAATGATATGATAAGTTAGAACAGCAAACAGAAACAATCATTGCAAACGACAGTGACAGTATATAATGATGCATAACATGTTCAACCAGGATTGCCACAGTCGCGTCTTCTGATAATGTATTCTCTTCAGGTATCTAGTGTACTTTATGAATACACACTTACTAGTATTCTCATTTTCATTTCTAAAATTTACTTGTTATCTTATCAAGAAATTTTGCTTTTTCCATTCCAATATCATCAAAATAGTGACACAAAAATGTGCATGAGTCATGCGAACCAGACCAGGCCAGACCGACAAAAAGTAGACCTGTTTGGATCTCTACAACATCCATACAACATCGACTCTATTCAAAAAGAGTTGGAAGAAATTCAAACAAATTTCAATTGAAAAAGATATAGCACGAAGGGACATATAGAATTTCATTTTTACAATAAAAACCATACTCATGAAGCCAAAAGCATTTCCACTTTATAACACTGGAAATTCGTCATTTTCAAAAAAAGCACAAAATTAGAGCGGTTTTCCCCATTTATTATCAGGAAAAAATCAATTATCCTAGAAGTTCTTATATATTTTGATAAAGGAAATGTTCTACACCGAAACTTAATGAAGATTCAAGTCAAAAGCTGTTTTCTCAGGCTTTCATAGAGTTCTGCAAATCTTTCTTATTGTCCGAGTACTTCTACAGAATCAAATGATATTTGAAATTAGCACACGTAGGGCTATCAAAATAGTTAGACCTGAAACAAAATAGCGACAAAAATGTTTTTCGAAATCCTTGGGGTAGACCTCAGGCATAAGAAGATGAGTTGTGATGAATTATAAAATAACCTCGAGAAAAGCAAACAGACATTCAGGTTGATTCTCAGAATACTGAAATCAAGTCGACATTTTTATATAACTATAATTGCTATTTCATACATTCTAAAATCGAATATTTTTCGTACAGGCCACTTAATCATTTAATTTTAAGCGAATGAATTGGTAAAGAGAAAAGCTTAATACTTAATATTAAAAAATAAGTGTTTCATTAACACTTAATATTTAGCGTTAAATTAAAGCCTAACGCTTAACATTAAATTAACGTAAAGTGCCAGTCCTATACTTCTTGAAATATACTGCCTGCACGATCCTTCGCCTCTTGATATGTTAGGACTTTCCTTTCTGAACCATCGAGTTTTCGCAAACTGTATCTATTATCTATGTGCGCTTGTTTCGAAATGGAAACAGCAGTTGTATCAAGATGAAAAGTAATGAAAATTGGAAACAAGTTTCTCGGCTTTCCGGAAAGAACTCAACTTCTTACGGACTCATTTTCTATCATTTTGGATTTAGAAAAGTAGTAGTCCAATTTCTCTCACGTCTCAGTGTCTGATTGTATTTCTATGAAATGAGATATGGCGTCATTTTGCCTGAGATTGAGCAATATAGAGAATACGTCTCTTTTGCTTGACTCACTTATTCTTATGTTCGTGAATCAGCTGTCTCCCTATTGACCGAAATGACCGGAAGTGTTCAGAACTCGTTTCTGTACTAATTGTATGAAGTTCTTATCGATGTGACGGCATAATAGTCGGCAAAGACAATGATATGCATAGTGATTCCTGAGCCATTGGAATCAATAGAATCACATGGAATCACAAAGAATCAATGAAACTACGGAATCAACTTTCTCACCTTGTGTCGCACTCGTTAAATATTTTGTGAAGCTTTTATTCTTTCGAATTTAAAATCAAGAAAACTGATACGATTTAGTGTTATTTTTGTTATTGGTTCGGCGAATTACATCTTGTTGCTCGTTCAAGATTTCTCATCATATTTTCACTTCCCTTTGCCGTATTTTGATATTGTTCTTCTTACACCAATGAGTTGCATAAGCTCGTGTATAACCAGTTATTACTGGTGAATTGAACTTCTATTTGCAGTCAGGATATTCATACCGATTGTGAGAGGTGTGCCGATATTGATGGCACGCTTTGATGATTTTCCTTCCTTCTCTTTCTGTTCTCTTTCCATTGTTCTAATGTATCTCTCTCCTGTCTCGCTTGTATCTCTCTCCTATATATACGTGCGTTATGTATGAAGTTGGTACACTCTGGAGATGTCAGATGACACAATACACCATCATGCCGACGAGCATAGGCGACACTCTAGTTTTGTCGTTACACTTTGGATAACTTGAAGTAGCCTAATAAACATCTTTGCCGAGAGTGGCACAAGCTACTCTAATCAAGTTGTTCGTTACAAGAGGCTTTTACTAATTCTTCAGTGGCCGCTCACTGGTGTTCCCCATATGATATGACTGATTCTTCTGGTCTTGTTTTTTTCCGCCAGATTTTTAAAATATTGTATGATTGATTTCACGTTTGAAGGAACAGGATTAATTCTCACATATCCATTCATTGTTTGACGCCATCCGCTTCTATCTTTGGTGTAATTTCTTGATGTCATCCAAGATCTTGTTTTTCCATTTTTATTTTTATTCCAGTATATGCAAAATGCTTTTCACCAGGAATACACAAAAATATTCTTTTCTTCACTAAATATGGCCCATCTTCACTTTCCAGACGACTTACATGACCAAAGTATCTTAATCAATTCTATTGCATAAGATCTTCAATTGTTTTCAGTTCATTGGGAACGATATGGCTATGGTTATTTTAATGTATTTCTATATACTCTTCCTTAAATAATTTTGACTCTTTAATTTTTAATTTTGTTCAACTAAATAAAAATAGAATACAATTATGTCATTTCGACAATCGAATTTGTCTTCTTCACATGATATTATACATGAATATTTAAGCATCGTTTTTTTATTTCTTTTTCTTTTCTCTTATAAGAGAAAAGAAAAAGAAATAGAAATAGAAAACAATACGTACACATGCATGTACAACATCAGCTGAAGACGACGACTTCGATTGTTGAAACGTCATAATTGTATTCAATTTTCATTTATTTGGCTAAAATTAAAAATTAAAATTAAAAAAGTCAAAATAATTTAACGAAGAGTATATAAAAAACATTGAAGTATCAAAGATTTTAATGGCTTTGGCAAACACAGAAAAAAGAAAGATAGCCTACAACATCGCAAGTGTATTCATTCTCACGTTGATTTATTGTCTTCGGTATTTTTAAATCGAACATTTTTTCATTTTCTTTCTCGGGGTCAACATGCAACGTCTTTTTATACTGTTTTGTCTCCTTGGTCAATCGTTATCATCACTACCTTATGCCGAATGGGCCCATTATCATATGGTCTGGCTACATAACTCCCATACTAATCAAGTTGATATACAAGCGATGGTTAATAGTTATCTTGAAAATCGCATTCCAGTTGGCATTGTCAATATTGACTTTCGTTGGGAAACGAACGTCAATACATTTATGTTCAATCCGACAGGATTTCCATCTGCAAAGGAAATGCTCGATGAATTCCGTCAAAAAGGTATGCACATCGTTCTCTGGATGAATTCAGTGGTCGATATTGATTCGTCAAACTATGAATATGCTCAAAATCATGGATATCTGTTCAATAAAACGGTCAATTGGGGACATGGGAACGGACGATTATTGGACTATTTCAATAGAGATGCTGTCAATTGGTGGCACAGTCAGATCAAACAACTGATCGATACTGTTGGCCCAATTCACGCATTTAAAGTAAGAAAATAAATCGCGTTATCAAAGTATTGCATGAGACATCACCATTTGGAAAAAGATAAAATATATGTCTGTTCCTATGAGAATACTGTCGTTACTGTAAGCAAAATGTGTATTGATACAATAGATAGAAAAGTAGCGTTGTGCAGAGAACGAATTCAAATTTCGTTGATGATTCGATGAATGTCATATGTTCTGAGAAAGTCACAATACTCTGACGTGACATAACTAGTTGAGTTTAACGTCAGGTGATGAACGTCCTTTTCTACGACACCCCTTATTCCAGTTTGAGCATCGCTGAACAAACATTATGCCTTAAGACACTAAAATGTGCCTCTCCATTTTGTCGCCACACCCTCCAAGCTCACCTTTTTGCCATATGCCAATGATTTTATTTTAGTGTCTGCTCACTCCTTGGTTAATGCTGTACGTATATATTTTGCGTCCTTAGGATCTAAATTCATACTAGATCTTAACAATATTAATATAATGGCTATGAAATCCATGTTTTCTGAAAGAGAGCTGCTTTTTTTTACATTGTGATCACAACATTTCAAGTTTATTGCGTGACCCATTATAGCTGCCTAGTTGTCTATCTATATTGATCTATTTGAGGGTGATGATGGATCACATCGTCGATAATTCTTGAATTGAATAATTTTGGAAAGATAGAAATATTTCGTTGTTCTAACCAAATATTGATGTTGAAATTAGAAAATACATTGTTCATGGTAGATGTCTCATTTACTAATGATATAATTCGAAGCATTGACTTGCGCAGAGGATGCACACATCATATTTCACTCAGACATCTCTCGCATGCTTTCTCATATTCAATTTTCATTTTCATTTTTCAAAGGCTGATTACAGTGATCTATATATAATTGAAGTACTTGATCCAGACGTCACCTGGTTAAAATACCGAACAGCCTATTACAATGATTCATTTCAAATACTGCGTCAATTAGTTGGCGAAGAGGCTCTAATTATGTCACGGCCTGTTGATTATGATCTCGATTTTTCACCGCACGACATTGTGTTCATAGGTTGGGTAGGTGATCAACAAGGAACATACGATGGACTTCGAAACGCTCTTCGTTACATGCTCGAAAGTGGACGTCGTCATTATGTTGGCTTCGGATCGGATATCGGTGGTTATGACACTGATCCAAACGCGGGTCCACTTGGTAGAACCAAAGAATTGTTTCTTCGATGGACCGCAGTAGGAGCTCTAAGTTCATTTATGGAGAATGGTGGTGACGGGGAACATTTCCCATGGAAGTTCGACAACGAAACAACGGATATCTATCGATCTTGGGTCAACTTACACTATACGCTTGTGCCATATCTATACAGTGAAGGCACAAAAGTTGCTATTTACAGAAATGGTACTCTAATGCAGCCATGTGACGACATTGAAGCCTTATTTAGTTATGCTTATTTTCTTGGTCCACATATTTACATTGTGCCGATTCTTCGTGATCCAGTTCCGAATCAAAGTCAACGTGTTTGGCTTCCAGCATCGCCTAGTGGTAAATGGTTGAATGGATTCAATACGTCGATTGAACATAACCCACATATATTTATCGATGAAGATACAAGTCGTCTCGATCGAATTCCCATGTATATACAATCCGATTCACTTATTCCGATGTATGATATTGAATATAGTTCATCACTAGATGCGTTTAAATTCGTTCTTTGGGGAGAGGGAAAATCTATTCACAGAAAAGTCTCAGTGTCCCTATTTACACGTAACGGTCAAGAATGGCTAATTGAATTGGACATTATTCGACAACGATTGACTACTCGATGTGTTCGAATGCATACTTCAATAGATGAAAGTCAACAGCAGCAAATATGGAAATGGAAATTTTGTCAGAACCTACATGGGCAGGAACGATGTACGAATAATTGGAAAACTCTTGATCATGGTGCATCGATGCAAGTGAAACTTCTAATGTAGTTTATTTTGAATACTGAAAATGTTTAAGTAGAGACCAAGTTAATTTGAATTATTAATGTTAGACAAATAAAAATAATACTACAACGAAATACGTGTTTCTCTGTTTCGATTTGAACATAGTTTCTCACCAATATTTGTTCTATAAATATTCTGTTGAAATTCAAGTTGATCATAATCTTAATCCAGCTTGTCTCGATGGTGTGGGTGTCCTACTCTATTAGCTATCAGGATAATCGCTACATACACAACTACATTCTCAAGTGTGAATCTTTTGATGAGCATATAATAACATCAGTTCATTAAAAAAAAAATCAGAATCACTTCTTCAATCCATGTGCTAGTCAAGCTTATCAGCATCTCAAACCATATAATGTGAGCCCTCATTCGAGTGAGTGTGAGTATTTATTTTATGTACTCACACTAGAGAAAATTGACGCTTTTTTCTGTTCTTCTACTTCTGATCGAACATATGACGATGCATGACAATCTTACATCAATTATGATGAAAATATGAATGCCTCACAGGTACTCTTCGCACATGTCAATGCTTGGAAAAAGCCAACAGTGTCTATAGAGTTATAAATTTAAAGGAATTTCATACATTGCACAGAATTTTATTCGAATAGACATGGAAGACGTTATCTCGATCGCTTCACTTTACATCGACGAACATACATCAGATGAACTATACGAACTTGTTCGAAATAATTTAACTAATCAACTTGATGCTCGTTTACACTCTCTTTCTAATCCGATTCAATATTTGACAACTGTACGTTGCTGCGGTGAAGAAGAGTTAACTTTATTAATGGTAGCGGCTCTTAATGGATACAATGAGATAGTGCAGATTCTATTTCAACATTGTCCACCTGAGCTTCAGATAGAATTACACGGAAGTGTAGTAATCTCTAAATCAAATGTTATCACTCGTATGACAGCAGTTCAGTGTGCTTGTTATCGATCGCATTTCGTTGTAGCTAAAACTTTGATTGACATTGGTGGAGCTGATGTCAATCATGACAATGACAAATGGCCAGATTATCCATTACTCATTCAAGCTAGCGGCGAGAATCGTCTTGATATAGTTCGTTTTCTTGTTGAAAATGGTTACGCTGACGTTAACAAAACTCAATCAAATGATCGGGATCGATGCACTGCTATTATATGGCCTGCTTACAAAGGCTACATCACAATAATCGAATATTTAATCGAAAAGGGTGCTGATATCAACTATTCATGTAAAAACAGCAATCTTGATGGAACAGTGCCCATCACATTTGCTGTTCTTCTAGGAGATGTAAATGTCATACGATTGCTATGTGATTCAGGTGCGGATACAAAGGCTACGTTGAAAAGTGGTAAAACGCTTGTCATGGCTGCTGTCGACCATCAACATTTTGACGTCATCGATTTTCTATTACAGCGATCGATAGCCACCATCGATGATCTCGAACTTGCTGCTAATCTATCAATCAATCACTTACAAAAAGCATCGAAGATCATCAATGTTGCTTTCGAATATCGTGCATCGAATAACATTCCAAAAAATTGTGTAGAACCTAATATTACCTACGAGTTTTATCGAGAATGTCAAACATTGGAAGAATTCGAGATTATCAAAAATGATCCCGACAGGATGTGGATTGAAGCAGCGCTCGTTCGAGAACGTATTTTGCTTCCAAGAAATGATTCTTCTTTAATCAGACCATTGTTGGATCGCGGCGATGTATTAGCGTCCAGAGACGAATTTGATAAATGCTTTCATTTGTGGGTTCATGCATTTCGCCTATACCAAACTATGCAGATAACCACTAATATTCATCGATTTATATGGTTATTTTGTAAAATGCTTACTAAAAATCAGTCAATTCCTATTGATCAATTTTTAACAGTTTGTTATCTTTTTTTCGAACCATCGCAAACCAGATATATGAATAATGATATACAGAATGCGTTATGTCTTGTTATTATTGCAACGAAGGTAAAATATTCTTTACAATTGAATAAATCTAAGTTATTTTTATTTTCAAGATTCTTGAACGACAGGTAACAAAAAGCGAAGAACGATCGTTGATATTTCGATGGATTTCCAAATTATGCCAGCGAAATCTAGTAGCTAAAAATGGAGAAACTCTGCTTCATTTCTGCGTGGATATTTGTACTAATCGGCATCTTAACTGGCGTCCTAATGATATTCGATCACACCTTCAGTAAGTTAACATTCTAACTTAAGGGAATCATTATGAATGCAATTTTGATAAAATGGTAGATGAAATGCTTTTTTCAATAGATATAATTGTGTCTATTGTATTTGTTAGAAGTTTGGTCTTTTCGGGATGTCTTTAAAAAAATTTCATTGCAAGCTATGCCGTTCAAGAATTGAATCACTATATAGTATAGAAATCTGATCATGGAGAGCAATAGTCGGTTATATTACATGATCATTGCCAATGAAGAATTACTTCATAACAGTAGTTGACGAAAGGCCTTCCTTCTCCAAATGTTTCCCGTGATCTATTCACTCTTCGACACTAGACAAAAGAATAAGTTGCAACAAGATGGCATTGACTTTTACAAAGATTGCAGCATAACTAAAACCTTTCTAAATATTTTTTGTTCAAGATTTCCAAATGTGCCTGCTCTTCAATTATTACTTGCATGTGGAAGTCATTGGCTAGATTTAGACGCTGCCGAACGAACTTTTGGTTGTACAGCATTGCATTTAGCTTGCCAACAATTCGAAGTGTCAGTGATTGTCAAATGTCTGATACACGCCGGTGCTCATCTCGATTGTGTCAATGATGAAGGCCAAACTCCAATAGAATGCGCAGACGATATTGCCATAAGAGCTCTCTTCAATACTCAGAACGTTCCACGTCGTCTAAAATGCATATGTGCACGGCTTATTGCCGATAAAAGACTCAATATTGCCGAGAACGATCTATTCAAACCATATCTACAAAAATTTATTTTAATGCATGACAATCGAAGAACTAAATTCAAGTGCTAGGATCGTTAAAAGCATGTAGAATTCGTATAGATCGAGGATCTACATTCTAATTTTATCGCATAGTCTTTCTTCCTAGTCATATATGCAGGTTGCGTTTGTTCTACTTGATTTTTTTTCTCGGAAGATTGTCTTTTTGGGTGTGGGTGATTCTGAATAGAAGACTGACGGGCATTCACACTCAAACCCGCATCCACACACTCAAACCTAAAAACCTGAACCTCTAGAATAACAGTATGTGTCACATGCTTGACGCAGAATGTCCAAAGGTAAATATATCAAATGACGGTTCGGCGAACACTTTTCGAGACACAGCATACGAAAACAGAAACCTTTCGTGTAGGATGTTTTTATTCAAATTCATTCGAGGCAAAAATGAAATACTTGCTTTTCAAATATTGCTGCAAGGCACAGAAAGGATTATCGAAATCATTTGAAGCGTAATACCGTTTATGAATAATATCTGAAGTGTATATAATGACTCATTGTATAGCACACACTTCACACGAAACATGCATATAAAAAGTGCGATGATAGCTTAATATCGCAGTTTATGGTGAGTAGATCGGATTTTTTCTACTTTTGATTATGACTTGACAGGTTTGTAGGTAGAAACGTTAATAAGCACAGCTGATCAGTCTAGTTTTCGATTTTTCTGTGTATGGGAGGCTCTACGGCCGATAACTGGAGAACAATTTAGATTAGAACTTGTTCGGTATGTAAGTGCGTACTGCAAGTGTGACTATCCGTCTCGATGAGTCTGACTTTTCTTTAACCTAATCAACACCCACAGCCACACCCTTTTGCGTGCTTTTGTTTTTCTAAAATGAACGGAAGAAATTAGTATGAATCTTTATTCATATAGATAATTCACACATCCTTATCAACAATAACAACAAGAAAAAACATGCATCCAACACTGATTTTTCTTCTGGTAGTGTCTATCGTTGGTTCAGCTCAGTCGCAGACATGGGCTGGCACTTACACGGCTGATCCATCATGCAACACGGCAAATTGCTGCTGTTTTAGTGGACAAATAGTGGTAATAAAAACTCCGCCAAATACCTATGGACTTACCTCCAAGGTGGCTGGTATGTGTTTTATGTTCACCAGCATATCAGGCAGCACCACTTTAACCGGTTATACGGGGTCTTTAACGATGTCAGGTGTCCCTATTTATTTGCAACTTAGCCCTGATAGTCGCAACATCACTGCAACTAGTCCATTGTCATCAACATGCATTGCCCGAGCAACCAAAGTTTAGCCCCACCAAATAAAATGTTGACATTATAGTATTCTTTACTACAGCTCCGATCGTTGCGTCAATGAACGTCTCGAAAAAGTGAGTTACCTATACCCTCCGAACTATCTTCCATATTTATTGTGTATTAATTTGCATATGCTATATTGTTTCTCTATTTGCTCACTTTTTAATAAAATATTTATCTCTTTGATCAAAATATGATTCCGCAAGAAGCTGCACATTTATAAGAAGCTTATCTAGGGTGTGGGGTATAAGCTTATTGCTTGAAAGTTCACGCTCACACCCAAAAAGCGGCGCTGTTTATATTTGTTTGATTTGAATTTAAAAAAAACGTAAACGCTATTAAATAGAAAAATATCAAAAGTTTAATTAGTTATCTACGTACAGAAGTCAATATTTTTCAACTGATGCCAAATCAACTTGATGATTACCGTTGGAGATCATATATTCACTGTGCACTTGAGGATACATTTCGAGTATAGAATGGAAAAAATACGGATATAGTCTATCCATCAATGCATTCTACACTGTATCCCGATGGACAATATTAACAATAAGATTATTCTTTTAGTTATGAAATCTGCATCTGAATGGTATGCTAATGCTGGGATTCTTTCTCTACATTTATGAAGAAACTTCCTAAAGAACAGAAATCAATACGTAAAAATCGTCTTTCAAAGAAGCTGCAGTCTGACGATTGAAAGTTACCAGCTAGAGCAATTGCAAGGACTACTCATTATTCTACTCATTCGATTAAAGAAAAAATGTCCGCATCTAAACTAGGCACTTGAGTATTTTTACATAAATGATTATTTATGTATATCTAGTTTCATGCAGCTGTTTTAATCATTCATGAAAGAAATTATCTTTGTGTTTACATTTATGAGAGGTTATCAAAAAAAAAGAAGTCAAGCGATCTTTTTGTTGTTATTTATAATCAAAGTGAAAATGAATTCACAACGAAAATCTTAGTTTCATCATCTTCGTAAATGAAAGTATTCTATGCGTATATGCATATAATTTATAAGATGCAAAAGAAATCTCGCGAATCACTATATTAATGCGGTACTTCGAACATGATTTGGCTCTTGATTGTCTTACTGAATTTAAATCTTTTAATCGATGCAGTTATTCGGATTGTATTGAATTCAAACAAGAATCGTTCTTTTCCTTAAGACACTATTGAAAAGCTGAAAAATAACTGCTATAGAGAAAATTTATTTGTCAAAGATTAAACATATTACAAAGAAAACACTCCATTCGTTGATCTATAACAGAAGTTAATGTGAAGATTGTTTTCAATTTTGTACATTGATATAAAAATACAAATTCTTCAGACCTTGAACAAAGCATAAAAAAGAAAATAGGCAAAACAGAGCATGATTAATATTTTTGTTGTGTTTTCGGGGAAGTCTTCATTTGAATTATTTGACTAAAACGAAAAAGTACGAATTCAATATTTTAATATAAATTAGAGTTAAAAACTTACCTTAGCCGATGTTGTCTCATCATGTTTTTCTATATTTATATCATTTGTTTCCACTTTTTCTGCGATAAATGAAAAATTTTCCTTTGATAATGATATTCGTTTAGTGAAAGGTTGATGTAATGGACTCATTATAAGTAACCGTTGAACAAACCAAATTAATTTTGCATAAGTTGGTAGACTCAATGAGCATAATACACAATCACGATGACAGATTATTTTACCGCAAATTTGACGACTAAATGTTTCTTGAATTTTTGTTAAAATTTCATCCGCTGTTTTACCGATCATAAATGATACTGGATGATCAAAATCGAATGATAATAATTTTCCAGCAAGATTTGGGCCTAATTCATCGTGAAGAAGACTTGTGAATGTCATTCGATTCATATAAAACCAATTGTTCATTGTTAATGATAAAATATTGTTTTGAAGAATAATATATTGAATAGAAGAAATGAATGATATCTGTGGGATACCTCATCCTCTTTATATAATCATTGGAACAATGAACATCCGTCAATTTTTGAATAGCTTAATGAATCAATAATAGACAATGGCACCGATCTATTGTCATTGTAGGAATATCTATTCAATAGGCAGCATAGGAAGGTCGTCTTTTTTCTCTTAATTGACTTCATCCGAGAGATTGATCCGCCCGAATAATACTCATCCATCGATTCATCTTGAACCATAGTGTCTGTTCAAGATTTATTATGCTTGAAAATTTATTTCAAGTACCATTTTAAGATTATATTGATCTTTATGAAACGACTTTCTGCCGCTGAAAATATAAAGGTTCATATCCATTTACTTGTGCATGACAAATGACATGACGCTTCTCTGTTCTAGAACTCGAAAAAGATCAGTGCAACATGTGTTCAACAATTTCTTTTTTATATTTCAATTTCCTGAATCTATCGAACATAAATTTACTTGATTGACTCCAGCATATTGAATACACTAGCATTACTATCAGTAACTCCTGAAATTGTTTTGTTCATTCAGGAATAAGTGCATTATTTGATTTGATTTCAAGTGCAAACAGCGGTACGCTTAACGATCAATGAATAATATTATCAGCAGCATAATTGACAACGATACGACTGTTGAAAAAATGAATCAAAATAAGCATGAATCACATATGGAAGTTGTTTCATTTTTTTTTCTTGCCCGTTTCCTCCAGCAATCGCAAAACCTGATGATTATTCAAATGCATAGTAACATAACTCTATTGAGTGTTAAAATCGAAAATGTAAATGTTTTTGGAAGTAGAATCACAGTCAATTTCCTACGGATTATTGAATTACCAGGACTAGATGAAACGAATTTTCTTTCAAGATTGAACCTCCAAGAACGAGACCTGTTTTATTTTTGACCACTAACTGTCGTAGTTCTTATCATATTCAGGCCAATTACTTGAAAATAAAATTATTTGGCTCGGTTCTGTATTATGTGATTCATCAGAGAAATAGAAAATTTTATAAGAATAATTATTAGCTTAAGTTAACGATTTTTGATGTTTAAAAAATTACAGAAAAAAGTGATGTAACGAAAGTCACATACAACAGAACTGAATTCCATGATTTCCTCTATCTGCTACTGCTACACGAATATTTCAATTCGATGAGTCAATGAGTGCATGTGAAGGTAAATAAAACTTGAGGGTGTGGGTGTGTAGTAGTAGTGGTGCCAGAATTTTTTGATCTGCAGGGATGAACCCTCTCATTCAGCTTTCTGCTAGGGGAGGGGCAACGAAATTGTGTATAAATTAAAAATATTTAATTACTAGATGAATCTTTTTTTGAATACCTATTTCTTTTCTTATCTAAAAACGTCGATAATTACTGTTTTATTTATTTTGAATGAATTAAAACGTCTTCGAGGAAGTGGAAGTCATGTGTGAAGAAATAATAATAAAGGGTTAAACAATATCTGGATGCATATGCTTCAAGGTTACATTTAGATGGCCCACTTGAAATATATGAAAATTGTCATTAATGAGATGAAATGACAAGAAAATCGTTCAAATGATAGCAATTGGAAAAAATTTAATTTTTCTAATTTACTGTCAATAAAAAAAAATGATATCAATCAAAATATCCTCATGAATAACTATCAACAAAATCTAAAAAATACAATCCTGTATCGAAGAACTTGACGATTGTAATGAAAATCATTAGATTGGTCTTTTTCTCCGGACATTTCTTTTAAATAGAAGATGAATTACAAACAATAATAACAGTACAATAAAGTGGTGATACATTTTTTTCTCAATAGGATGAAGTTGATAAAGATTTTCTTTCACATGAACTTGAATAGGCGCTAAGCAAAAACTAAAAGAATGTTCCTATTTACAATCTCAACGTAAAATATAAAGAAAGCGGGCGATAGAGTACCATCGTTGGAATACAGTCCGATAGGTGTAACCTTTGACGAGGAATCGTTTGGTAACAGAATAATGCTTTTCGCAATGGTCTGAAGCTTGAAATGATGGTACGAATCACAAAATGACCAATAGGGTGTGCGTTTGAAAATTCAGGTGAAGCTAAGACTATGACCGATCCTACACCCCGACATATATGCCGATGAAATTTTTTCAAGCTGAATATGTTTCAAGAGTTATTACAAGAGAAAAAAAGGTCATATTTTTCATCAGTTTCAGTACATATCTAGTTCCTATATATATAAATCAATAGTTGAACAAATTTCAGAATCGATATGGTATAAGAAAAATAAAGACAATCAGTTCTAATTTAATCTACATAGAAAATTTCTATACAAAATCATATTCATAAACAAACAGTAAATGTATTATAATTCCGATGTCCGTAGAATGGAGTCAATTTCCATTTCAAAGGCGTCTTGGCAGATATCCATACGGATATGCTCGAACAAGAGTCGAATTCAGTGATACAATTTGTTTTGAAAAGCCATAGATATGGCAAATGTACACCATCGAGTAGAATGTCGAGACAATCATAATATTCAGTAGTCGTTGGAAGTTTAATTTTGAGTGAATGAAGATTAGGAAAGCATTGCACAAGCGCAATGACAGCCTCCAATGATGCAATTCTATTATTTTCTAAGATCAAATGTAATACATTGGAATAAATAGTTGAACTTTTCAATAATGTGAATTGGTCAAATAATGTTAGCATCTGAATATTTTTGATTGAAAGTAACGAAACTATTTTAACATCGGCTGCTGTCAAATGACGAAGTCGAGGAAATTTCATATTATCATCAGAAGAAACATTGCATTTGGATAGAACATTGAGCATGCGAATATTTGGAAAACGTCGTGATACATTTGTGCACGGCACATCGACAGTTAAATATCGAACATTTGGACAAATACTAATCGTATCATCATCAGCTAATAGCGATACGTCAAGTTGTTCAAATGACCATGGAATCGTGTACAAATAGTTATCGGAACGGTTCAATTTCGGTTTACACGTTAGAGGCCAACGTTTGCTGAGCGTCGCAAAAGTCTACAAAAACATGATGATGAAAATATCGTATACACAAATGAATAATTTACCTGGATATTGATAGCATACGCTGTCTTAATGAAACAATGAAAATGACGAAGTTGAGGCATGAATTCAGAAAATAACATCTCCATTTGATTGCCTTCTATGAATTTTTGATCTTTACTAACCCACTGTTTTACATCGATTACGAATTTCTCGACTCCAGCTAGAGACATTACAATTCCACGTAAATGATCCAATGTAAGTGCCACTTTTTGATCGGTCGTTATTTGAAATTCAATCAAATGTGACATTAATTGTTGTGGCCAAAATCGTGGTATTGATGATCGTTTACATGCAGTAGATAGGCGTATAGTAACATTCAGAAAGATCAAATTAGGCGTTAGACCATCGAACAATATAAACAGATCGTCAACTGTCTGCAATGTAATGGTGAGTCGTTTGAGATTTAGTTTCGGACGTTGTTGTTTATCGAGAACGATGCCTTCTCTTATACTCAATTCAAGTTCTGTAAGAGAATTCAAATTATTATTGAACAATAAATTGCGCATGTATTCGATTTTCGAATAATCAATTGACGAGCCATTATTATTCCATTCAGCTTTGACGATACGTAAAGATCGTAATAACTCGAATCTTCTTAGATCAAATTCTAAATTTGAGATATCCGAAGTGGTGCATTCGAGTAGTGACAATTGGTGAACATGGTTAAAACGAAAATTGAGTATTGAACTAAATGCATCGAAAAAGATTTTAATTTGTGTGGGCATAGAAACATTGCTTATCGTTAGAGTCAACGGTTGAATACGTTTAGTAACCAATAGATTTAGATAAACTTGAAGATCCGTATAAGAACATTTGGATAAATCGATCGTTAGATGATATTCGGTTATACAAGAAAACATACGAAAGTCATAACTGAGAAAAGCGTTGATTACTTGTATGGGAGACAAAAAACGACAAATCATGAGAATAATTTCATTAGGCAAATCATTAAAATGCATTATGTGTTGGATCTTAAATACGCCTTTCAGTTGATGTGATTGTTTAACCTTTAAATTGAAGTATGTTGATATTGAATAGAAAATATGAACGACGTCTTCTCACACAAATACTTGTATATAAGGATGACGGCGATGATCGCGGACGAGAATCTTTCTTTTCTTTTCTTTTTTGTTTTGTTTCATAAAGACGGTCACGTGCTATGCGTTCAATTGCGCGGACTGACAATCATTGTTATTTTTTCTACAGATTTCTAGACATAGATCATAGCGTGCTGATGAATCCTTTATATCATTCGTTGAATATATTATATTGTTAACTTGTCGAATGAGATTTAATTTAGTAAAAAATTTTGTATTAAAGTACAAGTTTTCAAACTAACTGTCAAATGCAATGAAACAAAAATAACTAATACTCTAATGACAAGTTGAACGTGTTTTTGAAAACATGAAGACGTCTAAATAATTCAACGGATAAATATAATTTTATTCTTTGCGTCCTTTTTTCTGAGCGCAATCTATGTTCTAGTGTACTCTTACTTTATGAAACTATTTTATTATTTAAAAAATATGTCGTCTATTTGAAATTGTAGGACAGAAACAATTGATCCTACTATGAAATTCGTGATTATAAAGCCGTAGAAGTCCTTGTTCATTTTATACTTTTCTTTAAACTGTTAAATAAATACAATAAATAACGGGTGTGAGGGTGTTAGCGAAAAGAAGACCCACACATTTTCCTCTAATCTGATTTCTTTTATCTCTTTTTGAATCACATTCAGTTATCGAGATTTATATTAGTATTCCAATTGGCCCATTCTATTATTCCTTCCGATATCTGTCTGTATAGATAAGTATACTTTGTTTATGATTTCGGATCATTTAGAACGAGTATAACAGAGTTAAAACCGTCTGAGTAAGACTCTTATGCACGAAACAAATCACGATCATGGCAAAATTTTCCCATTTCCATTCGAACTGAACTAGGCTGATCTCTAATAGAAAATGTTTCAAACGGTTGAATTTCATGTCCAACAAGATTCTAATAGGCTTAGAGCAAGCTCATAGTGCAAAAAAAGATCAATTCTCATGAATATGTACTGTGATCAACATTGGATCTTGTCATAAATTACATCAAATCGATTTTTGAAAATTTTGATCAGGCAAACTTTACTTGTAGTATGAAGTAAAATATAACATAAATTCATTTTTTTATGAAATAAACCCTTAAGAAACAATTTAATAAAAGTTCTTCGATGCTGTTTTTAAGGTGAAGTTTACTGTAGGACTTCTATACTAAATTGATCAAATTCTCTGCACACTTTAACTAATCATCTATTAGGAATAGGGGTAACTTTACGTCATAATGCAGAAGAACAATCCACAACAAGTCCTCTATAGTTTTTCAACCAGTATTATTTCAAGGTTGGTGATAACGTGGTCTCAATACAATAAATTGTTGTGGCACGTTCGCTTTATTCTAGACACAAAAAGCTTAAATGAAACAAACGTGTTAAAAATGAGCAAATAGAGAAATAGAGAAAAATGATCAGTTGCTCTACTGTATGATTGTATTTTCTGTTTTCATAGCGACGAATAAATTGAACTAGTAGGTGGTTTGAATTCATATTCCAACTGACACTATTTCTATCATGTTTAGTAAATTTGTCTGCGAAACACTTACGCCACAATGAATCTAGCAATATCCGATTTCATTTTATATCAACGACTGTTTCCCAACTTTTAGAAGATGGGGGTGAGTGAATGACAACGATCTCAAATTTCTCTAATGTTTTAAACAGTTTTCTTCGATACTACCTTGCATATTGATCTCTACTGAAAGAGAGCGCGAGTAACAGGGTTCTAAAAAGTAGAAAATTCTTGTGCTGATTCATCTTTCTTATTGATAAATGCAATAGGAATTTTATTTAAGAAATTGACAAATAAAGTCAGTAACATTTTTAGGATGAAAAACTTTATTATTTACTATCAAGTAATAGGATTCCGTTACAATGTGAATAATCTTGGCCACATTCTAAGTGAGAAGCAGGAGCGATGGCTTTGAACAGTGTTGACTGGAGTAAGACGAAGGGTTGTGAGATTGACAAGGGTGTAATTTTTCGTCGTTCGATTTATTCAAGCATACTTTTGTCGATAACAAGTTCATGTTGCTCGTAAGTGTATTGACAAGTTTTATTTTAGAGAAAAGTTTAAGCTAAAAGTATAGTCTAACTGCTTGCAACCATTCTATTACAATAGGAAAGTCAAATCGTGCTGAATTATGGTGCTGTGCAAATGCTAAAGTTTATTTCCAATTTAAAAAAAATGGAAACATTGATAGAAACAAGTACAATGGATTGCTTGTAATGAGGTTTGATAAAAGTAATGATCATGTTTATCAGCGAAAATATCGCCAACTATATAGCCTCACACCCAGTTACTTGAAAACACGAAAAATTGTGGTCTCAGAAGTCTCATGTCGAGCCACACTATACGATTTTATCTGATGTTGCAAAACGTTTCTTCTAATAATTTGATGAGGGCAGGAAAATCATCGATAAGCAAAGCAGATAAAAATGATTCGTGCTACCCATTCATATTTTATATATTCTGAAATTCTGAAGCAAATACTCATCATTGGCTATAAAAATCTTAGTACATTGAAAAATCTGATTTTTGTTTGCATATTTGAATTTCTAGTTGCTTCTTTAACCGTCGGGATAAAAATCTCATTGGCTTTTAGCGAATCTAATGTATTATGGTGTCTACCGAAGGTTTCTCATTACTAATCAATTCAATTGAAGAAGGTATGAAAGAGAAATAAAGGATAGAGAGAAAATGACCATTCTATTATCAAGAATTAATGTGTTTAAGTTCACTGCTATTACGATCGGTTGATATATTTTCATGATTAAGACGCTAATTCTATTGCAGTAATAATAAGTTTGCATGTTATACAATACAATCACAACTTTTTAACGTCTATGGTTTTTAACCCACAACAAGATTGAAAATGCAGATTAAATTATCTGTCAAAAGAAGTAAACAAACATTTACTAAACATGCTATATTCTATTAGTAAATTTTACGAATACAACCGGAGATGAGAGCATGGTTAGGTTACAGTTTCAATAAAATAGAAGGAGGCTTTTTAGGTTCTTTGCCGTCTTTTATTAATGAAACATATTGCGTAAAAAGCAAGAGGTGAAGAATAAAGATAGTTAGCAGCGGCGTTCTGGTCAAACTGATATTCGTGCAATAACCAAAAGACAAGATGCTTCGTCGGAAAATGTTAAAAAGAAACAACTCATATCAGCAACAACCTCCCAGATATCAAGGTTTAAGAGCGCGAAATGTACTTCAATTCATGTCAGCACTGATCGTCCCACTTATGTTGGGCGTATTCACCATTGTGACGACTTTTCATCAACAAAAAATGGCTCGTGAACAACGACTCGAAGATCTAAACGAGTCGCGGTATCAACGACTCGAAGATTTAAATGAAACGAGGAATCAACGACTCGAAGATTTAAATGAAACGAGGAATCAACGGTTGCTAGGAGAGGGCCTCCAGCGGGAGTTGGCAACTAAACGGTATCAAGACGATTTACTAGTGGCTTATATCAATGCAATGGCTAAGCTATTGGAAAAATACATGGGTTCACTTATATCCAATAATGTTGCGTCTACTATTGCTCGAGTTAAAACTTTGACTACGTTTCGTCAACTAGACGCACAGCATAATTTTCAAATTATTCGCTTTCTCTATGAAGCCAAACAACTCACTGATACACCGGAAAATCGTTCGCTGGATCTTTCAGCAGCAGAGCTCTTTGATATTGATTTTCGTAATGCATCTATCAAAAAGAAGTTATTACATAATTTATCATTGACCGATGTTTTCCTAATGAATGCTACATTTATAGGCTTACAAATGGAGCACATCAGCTTTGCCGGTACTGAATTTGACATCGCAAATTTTTCATTGGGTCGCATCAACCATAGCAATTTTTCATTCACGATATTCCAGAATGCTAATTTTTCCTGTACTATTCTTTCGAATACTATTTTTGCAAATGCTGAACTTAAACATATAAATTTCTCATATACTCAACTCGATAATGTTGACTTCTCATTAGCAAAACTGGACATCTTGAACTATTCATCTGCAAATATTCTCAATGTTGTTTTTAAATCAGGCTCTGTTCAAAATATCAATTTCTTATTCGCTCAGCTCGTGCATGTTTCTTTCTCATTTGCTCGACTCGAGAATGTGGATTTTTCATATGCTCTATTGAACAATGTGGATTTTTCATTTGCTTCACTTACGAATGTCAATTTTTCACATACGCAACTCTTCAATGTAAAGTTCTCATATACTCATGCCAAGAATGTGGATTTTTCATATGCTCTATTGAATCATGTGGATTTTTTGAATGCTATACTTTCAAATGTCAATCTTTCACATACGCAACTCTTCAATGCTAAGTTTTCATATACAAACTTCAATTATGCGGACTTTTCGTTTGCTGAACTGGTCAAAGCAGATTTTTCAAACGCTGAACTCATGAATGTCAATTTTTCATCCGCTGTTTTAAGTAATGTTCATTCTACTATAAGGTTTCTTCAGGAAATTATTAATTTGAATGCTCTTTAGTGTTAGCCAGTTTCCACTTTGCCAAAGTATCAAATACGAGTTTTCGCCAATCGAGTTGTGTTGCATCTAGATTCGATGATGCTTCGTTATCTGATTGTAACTTTTGGCGTTCAAATCTTAAGCATGCTGTATTTTACGAAGCTACTTTCAATCAAGTTAATTTTTCTCGTGCTAACCTTTACAAGGCTAATTTTACTGGTACCACTATTGCAAAGAGTGAGCTGAAAGATGCTCTCTCTATTCAAGATGCTACACTGTCATATGAAACAATTGTTCATGATGAGAATTTGATCAACGATGGTCAAGCTGACTGTAATATTTCTCTTATTACTGGTTGGACACTGAACTGTGGCAGTGTCATGAAAGTGATGTCTGATAAGAGTAATAGTAATTGCCAATTCACCTTACAATCACTTTCTACTGGAGCTGCTATGTATCAACGTATCAATTTGTCAGACAAATGGGATTCAAGCTCTTGGCCATATTCTCAAGCTGTATTGACTGCAGAAATGAGCGTCGGTGTATCGGTGGAGTTGAAAGGAATAAAAAATAATCATTCAGTGTTCTCTGAAGAAATTTTAAGTAAGTTTCAGTATGCTAGTACTAAATCTGATATATCTTCCATTTACAGACTCGACTAAAGAGAAAATCAGTTTGCTTTTAAATGAGGATATGTGGGAACTTGAAGTGTTAATCAAGTTTAATGCTCCTGCGAATCATAGGAATATTAACAATTACTGGTGTGATGACATCAAGCTCTACATCATCTATGGAACATATTTGGAATTAACACGAGGTAAGTACTGTCATAGATTTTGCCTTCAGAGAGCTCAGCATCTATAAGTGCGAGCCAGATTGTCACGCTGAGGAAAAGTGATTTTTATATCAGTCAAAAATCTAGCTCATCCAATGTTGGAGACATTTTCTCAGTGTGCCAAAATCTGAAAGAATCAGTTTTTGCTTGCTATCCGAGGATGTGATTGTGGGAGCGATTGTGGGTTAGTCATGAGAACACCCACATTCTAGTCACCTTGGTACGAAACACAAAGCTAAAGAAGCAAACGAGTAAGATCTTCATTTCGATGCTCACACGGTTAATTCACCGAGTCTATATATTTTCATTACTTTGAAGCAAAGCGTTGCTTCGTACATTTTATTCTTCTCTCTGGATGCACTAAATCCAAGGACAACTGCAGTAAAAGTCTTGCAAGGTTCAGCAGCTTTCATTACCAGTTAATCCAATGACACAAAACTCATGGACTTGATTGTTTTTGCTGCAGAAGGCTAATTTTCAGAATTGATTGATTTTTTTTAAAGTGTAATTAAAATCATTCGATGTTGAGAAATCGAATTGCTGCGTCGCTTTTCTTTGAATTTTGAACTCTTTTTTTTCCACAAAATCCTAACTGAGCAAAAATTGAGATCACGATATGGTAAAATTGATACAGATAGCTCCTCGGCCTCGATTACCTATGGACGAACTTTATGGAAAACCATTAGTTTCTTCAAAATACCACATATGGAGCGAACCAAGTTAAGTGGATGGAACTCATGTTAACCCGCAACCTACGTAGTAAATAATAAAACATACCGTTACCTGTTACAGATACTAATCTCACAGTCCCAATGAATACTAAGTAAAACCCAATCCAATCCAAGGATTCTGAATTTCGTATACCTCTGCTTGTCTCCTTCAGATCCTAATCTTGTATACTTTTTGAACTTTAAAAAGCCATTCTCATGAGGCTTACCATTGAAAAGTCCTCTGAAATTTTCTGATGCTCCTTTTGAAAGAAATCTATAACATAATCCTCAAAATTTTCCACTGACGTGAGTATTTATGTAGTATGTCATACGGTTATATAAGAAATATTCGCAAGACCATATCTCAGTGACTAATTAAATTTCTTTAAGATTTCTGTAGTCTTTTTGAAAATTTTCTTGTTTTCTCTGAAAATCTGTATGGAAATTTGCATTTTCCCTACTCCTAAACTAGGTGATTTTAGCAATGGCTTCTGTTACTAATAGACTTCAACATATCATACCACCAGATTAGGAAAGATTTCGTGAGTTCTTTTCACATTTTGATGTAGTCTTTGTAAAATTACCGCGCATGATAGTAAATGAGATAACTAAGCTCTCCTTTATTTTTCATTTCTTGTAGTTATACCCAATATTCCAGCCAATGCTACATGGGCGCAGAATGGTGTGACTGTTGCTGGTGGCAAAGGGCAGGGCAATGGCAAAAATCAACTCAACAATCCTAATGGTCTCTTCGTTGATGATGATCGAACAGTGGTTATTGCTGACACGTGGAATCATCGTATCGTCCAATGGATGAAAGGCGACACGATGAATGGGCAAATCGTTGCTGGTGGCAATGACTATGAGGATGGATTGAGTCAATCAACTAATCCAACTCTTGTACTAAATCCAGTGGATAATCTAACTCTTGTACTAAATCAATCGACTAATCCAACTCTTGTACTAAATCCAGTGGATAATCTAACTCTTGTACTAAATCAATCGACTAATCCAGCTCTTGTACTAAATCCAGTGGATAATCTAACTCTTGTACTAAATCAATCGACTAATCCAACTCTTGTACTCAATATACCGATTGATATAGCTTTTAAACTACATCAATTGATTGAACCCGTTGATATTTTGATCGAGAAAGAAACGAATAGTCTCATTATTTGCGACGAGAAACGAGTCGTACGATGGTTTCGTCATACTAACACGGGTAAAGGAGAAATACTTATTGAAAACGTTAAATGCTATGGATTGGCTATGGATGATCAGAAATATCTCTATGTCTCTGACACCGAAAAACATGAAGTAAGACGATATAAATTGAAAGAGAATAATGGTACTCTCGTAGCTGGTGGTAATGGTAACGGTGGCAGTCTCCATCAACTCCACAAACCGAGTTATCTCTTTGTCGATCGGCAACAGAATGTCTACATTTCAGATAGCCAAAACCATCGTGTGATGAAATGGCAGAAAGGTGCGAAAGAAGGGTTAGTCGTCGCTGGAGGTAATGGCAGTGGGAATGCTTTAACACAATTGAATAATCCTCAAGGACTCTTTGTCGATACATTGGGTACTATATATGTGGCAGATTCGTCGAATCATCGTGTGATGCGTTGGCCTCAAGGAGCAAAGCACGGCACTGTACTTGTGGGTGGAAATGGTCAAGAAGCAGGAGCGAATCAATTCTACTACCTTAGAGGGCTGTCCGTTGATCGAAAAGGTGATCTCTATGTCGTCGATTATTGGAATCACCGTGTTCAGCGATTTTCTATCGAATAAACACTCATGAATTATTTTGTCTGAGAATACATCCTATTCCACAATGTTGAACATTCCGGAACCAATTCCATCTAATTCCGGCGATTCCGCTTATCACTTCCAACACAATTCCGGAATTCCCGGAATCACTTCCTACCAATTCCATCTGATTCCCGGAATTCAGTGCACCCGCACTGACACCCACACTTATCACAACACCCACATTAATACCTATGCCCTGCAATTTCGGGAATTAAGGTCGAACAGGAATTGAACGGAATTACACGGAATTCCTACTAATTCTGTCCAATTCCCAACGATTCCGCTCTCACCTAATTCCGGAATTCCGGACCGGAATCGGATCATCACTAGATGGGTAAGAGAATATAGAATAGTGATACAAGTTGTAATTCCGGAATTGGACGGAATTCACAGTGATTCCGCTTTCACCTAATTCCAGAATTGAAGTGGATTCCGTGCAATTTCTGGAATTGGGCGAACTAATTCCGGAATCGCACAGTGTTCATGATTAAATTAGTTCCGGAATTGATGGAACTGATTCCGGGGGCGGAACTAGCTCCGGAATATTCAACATTGCGGAATAGGATGACTGCTCTTTTTTCTTTTCTTTCGAATAAATCGAATTGATTGAAATGAAATTTTTCTCCTTATTCACTTTAATATTCATGCACGTATAAGTATAGATTCAAACGATGTAAATGTAACATTTATCTTGAAAGGACGCTGCTAAAGGGCAGTTTGTATGTCACTAACACAAAGATAATTCTTGGTCGAGTGTTCAGAAACCTCTCGAGAGTCCTGTAAGGTAAAGACTATCTCTTACTCAAAAGAAAACTAATCTTATATACATCTATACTTACCACTGTAGTTGTTGACATTGAGTGGTGATGGGCTAAAAGAAAAAAGAGAGTCGATAAAATATTTTGATACGCAAAAAAGAATCATTCACCTTCTCATGTTGTTAAACAAACACTGTTCTTGTATCCATAAAATAGAAATAAAATATAATCACAATAAAAAGAGAAAACTGATATCCACTTGTTTTATTGAGATTGATATGGTTATTGTATTGACACTGATTGAACATCCAAAGAAAAAGAGAAAACATCAATGAGGACGCACAAATGTAACCGTTTCACAAACTTTGTGTAGGGACAACAGCACTAATTGTTCCCCCGTACATTTTCGAGTTAACAATTAGATAATGATATTAAAATTTTAATCGAGAATTTATTAAAATGATATTGTCAAGCTAGTCCTCTTATTAAATCCACAAAAATATCATCGCTTAGAATTCATCAAAATAATCATATTATTACTTTCATTACGATGTTCGTGCCCAACTTGATATCAAAGTTTGAATCTCAATAACTCTAGCCAAAGATGCCCTCTTTTCTATTGCTACAATGGTTCCGGTGTTTCTGGTAAGAATAGTATTTTTGAATTTAGTTGTATTCTAAAACGAAAATGATCAAGTTGTACTATAAAAAATGGCTTAATTGTATACTTTTTAAGGAACATTGTTTTCTATTCAATGTAATCACCGAAAGTCAGTGAGCCCTTCAGCTATAGAAAATTCCCCAATTGCGATATTTCCAAACTTTATTGGCGTTAATAACCGTAACATATACACGCATGACAGTTTACAATTTGATGACTATGTTTATTTGGGTAGTGGCATTGCTACTATGAATCAAGAAGCACTTTATGATGGTCATCCTCGATTCGTTGCAGTTGACCAACGCATGTTGAAAAATGTAACTCACGCCTTTCTTATTATTCAACTTGACATAAGCTTCGGTGATTCAAATGTTTCAACACCCTTTCAATTAAATGATTTCAACGAGTTGATATGGCATCGATTTCTCCCAACTATTATCTTGCTTTATTTATTTGTGGACAAATCATCGTTCAATAATTAGATCATGTGATGAATATTGTTCACAGTGCCTCATTGTAGATGGTCACCAAAAGTGCAGACATTGTATATGTGCATTTAAAGTTGTACAAATAAATACAAAAGGAATGGTAAATTTAGTTATTGACTTTTATCGAACTCCAGCGACATTGTCTCGTTATTGTACATTGCATGATATCAGAACAACAACTGAAAATTTGCGAGAAGAAAATTTCATCAATATTACAACAATTCACAGAAAAAAAAATGGTAATCATCGGAACGCAAATAGTTGTCGTACATTGAAAGCTCAATCTAACCAATGCACAAAAGCTTGTACGAGATCATTTGGTGTAATTATATGATTCAATGAGTTATACAGATCGGAAACATTGAGATAAATTATTGATCTGTATGCTGTTACTATACATGGTACATTTTTATCCTTTTGTTTATTGGTGAGAATATGCTTTCTTCATTTAATAGTTACTTGAAAATTAGCACCAACTGTAGTTTATAAGAATATGTGTCATCTAATGAAATATGTAAAACACCATATTGCTACAGTTCTTGCTAAGACTTCTGCAATGGAAATTCTTCCTTCAACTCCGATCAGCGTCGACTGCAGTCATTTTCATAATGATGGTGGAGAACTTTGTCGTCAAAACATGAATCCAGACAATAATCCATGTTAGTATGGCCCTTTCTTTAACAACGATAGAATTCTTTTTTCCTTTTTTAGTACTAAACAGTGTGAATACCCAAGCAGCTAAACAAAAGTTCTCGTGGTTAAAGCAATATGATAATATTATGAGTACCATGGGTGTGGGTGTGAACTTTAATCGATTGATCCTCACCCACACCCTGTACAAATGAATGCCATTTAGAAACGACTTTGATTCTGAACAAAACTTCTTTTTATTTCTTATCAGCATATAGCGCTGATAATAAACCTATTACTATGGAAACGTATCGTAAATCATATGAAATGATGAATAAATCTATTAAAAAATAGAATTGTAAAACTTCTCTTTCAGAATCTATCCGTTGATTTTCAATAAGAAATAGGTATGAAATTGTAAACATTTCAATTATTGTCCTTCAATATATAACGTTTAGATCGTACGACTATCGTAGTTTCCACTCAACACAACATTCTTGAAAATGGTCTAGTAAAAAAAATTAATTATTCAGTTATATTGTTTATCAACTTGATTCAGCATCTACTATCGACAGCATATAATAGAGTAGCACTCAAAATCTGGAACGATTGACAAATAAGGGTATCAAATCATGAAAAAAAGTACATTGCCAATATCTTGTTTGTATCAACCTATAGGTTTTACTAATATTTTTAATTACGAAAGCATTATATACAAAAATATATAGAAGAACGATAAGCATCTGTTGAAGCCTGATACAAAATTAACCAATTAGATGAATCCACATCTGGCATTTCCTGACAGCCTCGTGATAATAGTTCGAAGGATAGTTTTCTTTGTACAACTGCATGAAAAACACAATCTCGATCAAAAGGTAACAATAATATAATTCAGCAGATGATCTTGTTGATTAGTTTTCATTTGTCGTACTAGTCTCGTTCTGATCCTACATTCATACTTAGAGTTGTTAGATATAAAAAGAAAGTGTTCAAATGTTCATATCACAAGCAAATCGCGTTATCATTAATCTTTCTTTCACTCCACTCGTTCGATAAACCCGACTACAATTAGAGCGTCAAGATGAAAATTGAGATTTTAAGAACAATTCCGGAAAAGTGACGCTTACATTTTCTTATATGATGAACTTTGCTTTTTGTTGCTGTGTGTTAAATATCTATCATTGTTATTACGTTTTTTTTCTATTTAATTATTGTGTTATTTCATTTTAAAAACCGTAAATTGTTTCGTTACTATTTTTTCCGAAAAGGATTACTATTACATTATCATTTATATTTTTAGATTAACCACCATGAATTTAAGTGCTACGCCAATAACTGTATAGCTGAATGTATTTTTCATTTTCTTGTATACTGTTATAATATCGATATTTGAATTTTTAGTTTCTCATCCTATATATGCATATGACTACATTTAGCAGTTTTCTGTCGTTTAGGATATTCATCAATTAAGTGGTGATAATAGCAGAGTACGTATAGCATGTCCCAAGCTATCAGACGACAAGAATTATTATGGAGGTCTTGCTTTTTTGTTAATGTATATAAGTCAGAAGGATATTCTCATAATAGCGAAGGCAATTCTATTAGACTAATGAGTGAATGTTCTCACGTTATCATTTGACTTTAATTTCCTGTATTTTATTTTACCAGTAAATGAAACTTATTTAGTTTTCTTGAAATACTTCATTCATATTCAATAAATGTTCATTTGTTTTTAAATGATTTAAAAACATGCGATCAGAAATAGTATAGATAAAATAAAGAAAGATATTTATAAAAAAAAACTAAACAGTATTCAAAGCACGATACGATAGCAAAATGAGTAGCCAGAGAAAAATTCGATGTATCGTCTTATTATGAGCTTGTCTATTTGAAATAATCTAACTTATATTTATTTTTTTTTGTTGACAATATTGGGAGTATGTAATAGTCAACACACTCGAAAAAGTATTTCTTTGGGGTGGCATTTTACCTTTATTTTACTGAGTAAAGTATTTTTTCATTTTAGTTGAAAAAATAAAAGCGAAAAAGTCAGTCGGAAACAAACTGATTTTATGACTTCATTGATTTCAAGCTATTTTCATTTATCGAGCAAAATTTTTCTTCGGGGTCATACTAGCAGTCAGCGGCAAAAATTGATATGCATAATTGAGTGGTTAAAAATCTAATTTGACTACATTCCCATGTTTGGTGGTTGGCTGCGTTTTTTAGAGTAGATTTTGCTCTCTCAAGTCCTATACACAGAATCTCAGCCCATCTTGAAATGATTGAAATAAAAGTGACGGATTTTTTTCTCGAAAATTGGCAACTAATAATCTGAGGTTATGATCAGATTGATTTTACTTAATAAGGAAAGCAGCAACCGTTTAACTTGAAATTTTGAGCATTCGTATAGGTTGATATATTTTGCGTTGTTTGTATTCGATACATACGCACATATATATATATTATTTTTCTTTACATCAACATGTGGAGATATTAGGTTGGTGAAAGAAATAGTAAACTATTATTCCTTTGTCGATAATATCAAAGATGCGACAACCAGGATTTCATGTCTTAATAGCGAATTAACGTCATAGGATAATTTTGTTAATGTTCTTTCAATTTCTGCTTTAATGTGCTTACGCAGGATAAATAAAGGATAGAACGAAAAAGTTGTGTTCTTAAATTTGAAAGACGAAGTCAGTAGTTGGTCTGGCACAAAACAGAAAGGACGATTTGGAGTACTTCATTCGTGTATTAGTTGCACAGGTATACCATGCGACTTGTAATACCTTCGATATTCATCATCTACTTTTCATGTATATGTGGTTTGTTGAGTTTTTCTCATGTAGTTCTTTCATTATATATAAACAATATTTAGCTCAAACTACAGTTGTACCTAACTACTATTGCTATGAAAATGATGATGTTATACAGTTTACATTATCTTCGTTACCTCATTCTGCATGGCAACCGACATTAAGCTGCTCTCTACAACAGTGTAATGAAAGTCCAACTGATAATAACACCTGTCGTTCATCATCAACACCTTGCTATGACTACCGCACACATAACAATACCAGTTATTGTGCACCCGGTATACTATGTTCTCTTTTGGAACCCTGTAACAATATTACCTATACTTGTGCATCAAATAATTCTGTATGTATTGTTAACTCCTGTTGTTTGCTACAAGCAGTGTGTGTATCATTGTCATGGATCAATATTTGTACATCAAGTAAATACAAATTTCAGTCACATTTAGGATTATGACCATGTGGAGAGCAAATAAAGTACTTTGACAGAATTAGCCTTGAGACTTAATTTTGATTAATCTAAGATCTCGTGGAAACAGTGAAACATGAAAATAGAGACAAAATAAGATCCAAAATTGAAATACATTCAATTTTTCCATTTATTCAAAAAATAAGAGACCAGTCATACTCGTCATAGACTAATGTGCCAGTTTTATCCTTCTTCAATATATATTGACGCAGCCATACTCTAGAGGAACTAAAATGAGCAAAGTATAAGACTTTTATAGAGTCCATTGTGTATACGATAGTAGTCAGACTTCGGAAAACGTTTTTCGACATTTACATTTTTCAACTGTGAGACACTGTATTATTCGTGATGCCAAAATGAAATCGGTGTCTACGATTATCATGAATAATATTCAGCTTAGATGCATTCTTTTTCTTCATTCGTAGTGGCATAATTAAGTGTAATTTTCAATGTTAGAGTCGTGTTCTCTTTCGTTTATTTACTTATTCGAAAGTATATGCGCTGCTGTATATATATATAAACTTTATTCAGACTATTTCTTTGATTTTTAGGAAGGTCATTTATATGACTTTTAAAGATTAAAGCTTTTAGAACTTTTCTTGATTGTTGATTTTATAAAAGTTTCCGATTTTTGTAGTAACCTTTTGGCAGCTATATTGCCTTCGTCAGACTAGATTTAATTGTATTTTTAACATGTAAACACACCCAACAAATCCAAAATCTATGCAGGATGTCCGTTTATTCCGATGTAAAATTCTTCACTCTGCACTTATAATTATGTCTGACTGAAGGAAAAGCAGCATATGAATAACTGAAAATATTTGGAAAGGAAATAGGCATCACCATTGAAGTTAGACGTACCAGCTCAGAACCGTTTCTCATCGGATCAGCATTTGATAACCGTAGGTACTGCTTCAACAACGACTACAAGCATAGCTAGTACAACTTCCACTACTTCAAGTAAGTTCGTTTTTTTAATGTAAACGGTACGGAAACTATTATTTAATAGGCGCGACTACAATAATGCCAACAACTACTACTACAGCAATGCCAACAGCTACTACAACAACAACTACTACTACAGCAATGCCAACAGCTACTACAACAACAACAACAACAACAACAACTACTACAACATAGTGCCGTAACCAAGATTTGCTAGACGGTTGGACTGAGTCATAACATTTTTCCAAAAAGTTATGGCTGGTGATACATAACGTTTTTTCATAGAATAAGGATACAATAGTGCATTCAACTTGAAAAAAGTCTTTTAAAAATGAGGTTTCGTTTGCTTATTAAAACGAAATAAAGAACCACAACTTATTGATTCGCAAAATTTTACTGTAAATGAATTCTACTGTTTTTTGAGGAAGTCAGCAAAATTCTCCATTCATTTTTCGAAATTGATGTTGAAATCATGTTCTACCTCGAAAATGCACAAAGTCACTCAACCACGTATTTGACATTATATTATGTACGGTCGTTTTTATCAATTCATTTTACTAAATATTTTTTCTGTATTGGTAAACGAAACAAGTATAGTCATAATAGCAGCGACAAGAAATATAACAATTGGAATTGCCAGTTTCAGTGGCACTCAAGCAAACAAAAATTTTGAAAAACGCTCTTAAACACAAAGAGAACGACGAAAAATCGAGAAAAATGGGCATATTTGCATGAGAATCGAGGCTCTCTATTTTAAACGAAAAGGATCCATTTTTCGCTCTTGTTGCGCATTTAAACGTGTTTCCAGTCAAAAAAGATACTAAATGAATGTACAGTAAGCGCTTTGGAAAAAGACAATAAGTGGTCTTTTTTTAATGAATTTACACGTTTTTTGGCTGAAAACGCGTTTAAGCGCACAGGAGGAGCGATAAATGACCGTTTGCAGCTCACAGTTACGATTCCCGATTGTCATACAAACAAACCGCCGTTTCTGGACTTTCCGTCCTTTTTGTACATTTAAAAGTGGTTTTCCAAATTCTTGTCTGCTTGGGGAATGGTTCAGCATAAAAATTATATACGGTTTAATTTTGAATCTTTCAATATCTGCTTCAGAACTTAAATTTCATTGCATAAAGAAGAACAATTAGTTTTCATTTGTAATGGAAAAAGTTTTAATATCAATTGAAACAGAGGTCGGAGCGAATGCAAACGTGTAATGTTTTATTGCCCAGCAATATAAAACAGTTATTTTTTCTAAAAACAGCCGGTGGTGGGGCGTATAGCCACAATGGATGGGCTGAGTCCAACTGTGATAGATAAGTTATTTGAAGGTGTCAATTTATATGAATAGTTTTGTGCAAAATCTATCGTACAACAGAAATTGGTGAACCTATTCATTTACTATAGAAATGCTTTTATGTGCTCATTTCTTTTTCTGGGAAGTAGTTAAAGGTAATTCATGAATCATTGGGTTTGAGTGTGTGTAGATGAAAAAAGACCTCCACACACACGCATATCCTGATCTGTCGGAAATTAGATGTGATGGTATTGGATGAGATACACGGAAAAAATTGATAAGAGTCAGATATGTTGTCATATATACTGTATATCGTATTTCTGTGAAATTCATGACAATATGTAGTCAAAAATATGTATTAAAGCAAATGTGATCAGTTGAAGTCATCACAATTGGAATTCGATCTTTGCTTTGACTTTGGTTACTTGCATATGGAGCAGTAAAGTAACTTCATGATTACTATCATGTTGTTAAATCAGACATAATATATTGAACAATAGATGTGATGCATACTAAGAAATCGATGTCTCAGAAATCTTACATCAATTCATACTGCACGATTCTTGCAGAATCTCATTATGTTTTCTAAAAGCATAATGACAATAATATGAATTTTGCTAGTCGAAGGAAACATTAAATAAAGTCAGTCGTATATATTAGTTTTATCATCCATCTTGGATGTCCAACATGGTACTGTTTATGATGTTTGGGATACATTCGCTGGCGGAGTCGATATACTAACGACAGAAAATAGTACAAAGTCGGAACTTATGTAGCTGGGCAGTCCCCTGATAATCTGTTCGATGCTATACTTAGTGCCAGATATACTACTCGTGGTAATTCTACCGGTGGAACAAATTTATATGCTGAACACAATACTGGTTTTTATATGACTGTTGCTCAATGTCAACCCGTACTTCTCGGTTTTCGGTTTGACCTGGCTGTGGGTGTGTATCTTTGGTTAACACACACTCTCACCAACACCCACACGATTGGCCAAATAATAAACAAATATCTGTTTTTTCTTATGAGATTTCGTATCTATCAGTTGTTTGCTTTTATCACAGGGCCAAAACTAAAAATAGTTTGAGAGAAAATATATTGTTTATTGTTTACACCGTTTTTATCCCAGATGTGTATATAAAAGTCTAAGATATTACACCTTCAACATTACATTTTTTACCATAAAACTTTACCATTATGATGTTCGCAATAATTACACTTCTTTTTTTGTCAACCGCACCTGTCTTGGTTTCATCATTACAGTGTAATGTCTGTCATAACGGTATTCGACTCAACTATACAATGACGAATACAACAGTACCACCGCTTCCTTCCGATTGTACCGTAGTCACTGCTCAACGCTGCTGGGCATCGATTTTTTGGGAGTTAGATTTTAACAGAACTTTTCTGGAATTTCGAGATCGACCAGGAATGGCAAGCAATGCTCCTCCACGTGATATGGTTACGGTAAGAATCGTGAAGGGTATGGAACGCAATAATCAAACTCTATCATCAGGTCGTGAAGTTAACTATGAATGTGACTCAAGCGATAAATGTAATGGCCAAGCAGGTTTACAGAAGCTTCTTAGCTCACTTTCTGTTGAAGATCAATTTCAGCAAGAACTAGCTCCTTTACTCAAAATTATTTCTCCATTTGATGCAAGAGCCGCTGACTGTTTATATTTTCATAATACTACATTTCGTTGTCCTCCACCGGATCTTAGAAGATGTCACCGATGTACAGTTGAAGCCGCTCAACTAACATCACCTACTGAATATGCCTGTGCAACATGCGAGGTTGATGAATCTCGTGATAATTTCGTTGAACGTTTCAAGACTTTTGTCTTGAGTAATCCAAAAGAAGACATAGATGTCGCTATCCTCGGTTGTCAATTAGAAGGATGTAATACAGTTGATAATGCTAATCTAGTTTATAAAGCAAGCCAAATTACATTCAACTCTGATGCATACTTCAAAAAGTGATTGAACAAGATTTTTTCAAAGTTTTTGTGTGTTCGTACGTTTGGAATAGATATTAATTATTATTTTCTTTTTTTTTGTACGAATAATTTATTGAAATTAGGAATGTATTAAAATCAAAAAGGATTTGATCAATAAATAAACTATGTAAAATCATTCTTATCAGTCATCTTATCTATCAAATAAAGTAAAAAGAGAACATATCATGAAGAAATATGTTCTCTATTGTCTGTGGATCTCTTATCTGAAATATGTGAATAAAAGTTAAAAACATCAGAGCTGTAATTTAAAATCTTTGTTTCTATAATACTTTATCATCGTGTGTTGTCGACAATAGACTTTGCCCACAGCTATCTTCATTAATGAAAATTGCTTCACTGATAATCAAGAATGATTGATTGTTTCCAATACTAGAAAGGCTTGCATCACACAGTGAAGAAGTCTGTAGCTACTATATATTTTGGTTCACATTATTCTACAGTTCATTCAATAGAACGTTCAAAGTGCTTAATGTTAAATTATAAAGTAAACAAGATCGCATTCGATTCTAATCAATAAAATTAAAAATTAATGAGAATTTTTCCTAATTTTTCTTATGATTATAATATTTTACATACATTTATCTTTTTCACAACTGTTTTTATTTACAAGTTTTCGAAATATTCGACAGAGAAATTTGTTTTTCTTGGTAAATAAAAACTCGAAAAACCATAGTTATTCTTTCGTAAACATTCTATTCAAGTAATTCTAGATACTATCAGTTTGCTTTCAAAACATACTCCATATCAAAAATTTCTTGTGGCCCAACATCTCTCATACTTTTTGTGCTATTCTTATCTTCACTACATACCTCAATGGCAAGCCCATTCGTTTTTTTAATTTTATCTACATTTGTGATTTACCATTTTTTTATCACTATTTTCTCTTCTCAATTTCTATCGTTAAAAGGGTGATGGTGTAAGTTTGTAATGAAGAGATGACACCTACACCCATCTTCCTGATATATTGTTTAGTTAACCATTATATCTATGAAACATACCTTGCCTATGCAACAGCATTATTAAAATAAACTAAAGTTCATACCTCGCCAGATAGGATATTTTTGTATATGCACTTATCTTGCAGCAAACACAAAGATATGTCATTGTTTTGTTAATTCATTCTGTTTATTGAGTATTAGTAATACACAATTAAATTATCACGGTAATTAATTTATACTTACTATAGAATATTTACTTTTTAGACGTCTTGAAAGAATATTCTATTATCGTGCTTCAGCAACAAACAAAACGAAGAAAGTGACAGAGGTGTCCACAGGGCAGGACGATACCTCCTTGTCCTGAAAATTTTGCTTATGCTTACTGTAGTTTGAAAATAACAACATTTTCATTTTTCTCAAAAACGTGGAACAAGTTATGAGAAATTTAGATAATTATATAAATAGATAAAGAAAACCAATTTCACCAGATCAGAAGTATTTATTATAGAATAATATTCCATACAGATTTCTATCCATTATACTTAGGACATACCAAAAGTAACGTTTTTTGAGGATAAAACTGTTCAAGATAGAGTTAATCAAGTTTTTATTTCATCAAATGTTCGAAGTAGTCCCCATGGTTATACACACATAATTTCATCCATTCAATCCATTTATCAAAAACTTTTTTATACTCATCTTCGTTAATCGAAAACATGACTTTGGCTACGACACGATGCAATGATACTGAGCTTCTTGGATCTGTTAGATTTTGTTTGATCAAGTCGAATAACCAAAAATCGGACGGTGTGATGTCCGGAGAATTCGGTGGTTGTAACATTTTCATGATGCCTTGTGATTCGAGATAAGTAGAAACATCTTCATGAACATGGAGTCTCGCATTATCGTGATGAATTTTAATTGCATGTGTAGCCGATGACGATCTTTGCTTTTTGATTTCGTTGACAAGGGGTCGTAAATAATTATTGATGTAGTAGTCATGATCAATAGTTTGCCCTCTTTCCACATGATGGATTAAAACAGGACCGGTGGTCTTAAAGAAGATACAAAATAACGTTTTTGGAGCGAAATGACTGCGTTGAACTACAGTTGGCGGAGTTTCTCCACTTGCTGTCCAGGCAGCATTGGACGACTTTCGCCCAAGTTGTTTGTGATAAAACCATGACTCGTCGCCTGTCACTACGTCACATAACCACCAGATTCCTTGTTTAAATTTTGCTAAATTTTCTTGACATATTCGAACACGTTCAGCTCGTTGAGAATCGGTCAACTGGTTGGGTATCCAGCGATCGGTAATTTTTTTCAGCTTGAGATGGCCAGAAACAATTCGCTGGGTGGTACCGTGACTGAGCCCAGTTTCGACTTGTATTTCATCAATAGTAAGATAAGGATCATTATCAATAAGGCGACGAACTTTTTCAATATTGTCGGATGTTGTCTCGGTTACCGGTCTACCAGGCCGTGGTTCGTCTTCAATTCCTTCCCGACCTTCACGACATAATTTTGACCATCTTACAACCGTATTGTAAGGTGGAGCTTGGTCCCTCAAAGCTGTACATAAATCGTCAAAGATGGATTTCGGCTGCATGTTAAGTGCAGTACGCACTTTAATATAGGCACGAATCTGCTCTTTATTCATCTAAAAATGGGTGTACAGTTTCTATTGAATTTTTCTCATATAATAATAGCCACTGGTGAATGATGACTCATTGAAGAAATATAGAGCACTGTTCCCTCTACAAGTACATATAGGGAAAAGTTTGATTTGAGCGTTCCATAGGGTCCATATAATACCAACACCACTACTTTTGGTATGCCCTAAGTAATATGTAGTTCGATTCAATAAAAAAAGAAGCTATTTATTCATCTATATGGTACTATCTAATTGGATTGATTTAACTTTTCTTTAGTTGACGACATTTGAAGGAACCTTATTAAATATATTTATTTTCATTGCCAGTTGATAGACGAACATGACAATCCACGTCGAAGAAAACACTGCGTAAACGATTTCAAAACAATATAAAACACTGAAAACCGTTGTTGTTTCTGGTGTCTTTCTTGATGGTCAGAATGATTTCCTGGAAAGATTTTGAATCAGAAATAATTGAATCAAACTGACTCATCTAACAACAAGGAATAAATGGTTTCTAGCGAAAAAGCCAGAAAATTTATAACAATCAACGAAATAAAAATGAAAGTTTCTTGAAATTAAATAATAAATTGATACAGCAGATTTCGTATGAAAAAAATGGAAACATCTTACTGATGTAAAACTGTGTACTTTTTTTTTATAAATAAACATTTCAATACATAATCTTGAGGGTGTGGGTGTGAGTGAATGATGCCTATCATTATCAAGTCTGATGCCGATCAAGATACAGAATATTTCATACTCGTTGAAATAAAAAATATGACTTCCCGTTAGTAATTAGCTTTTGCGAATATTTTAGTTCTACTTCAATCACTCTCGTTGACCATTAGCTGAACAAGCCGTATAGTAAATTGTCTGTGGTATGCTTCTATACAGCACTTGCTGAAGCTGCGTTCTAAAGAAATAAACATTGCTATGGGACAAAACAACTGCCCTACCCCATCCTATTTGGTGTTCCAGTGCGGTAAATAAAACTGATGCTCTTTTGAATGCTCATGAAAATGAAAAAATGTAAATCTGAGCAAACACCTTGATTCAATCACCAGTTCATGAATCTTCTTAAGAAACTACTTTGCAGACTAGGATTTTCCGACCCCAATGACCATTGGCGAAAGTTCTATTTTGGGAAGTAAAATGCTTAGTGTTATTTATTACTATATTGAACAGTTCGATGTTTTGCTTTGCAACACACTAGCATCAGTCACATCGTTACTAGTTCATATGAAGAAAAGTTATTTTTGTTTTCGATTGACACATATACCTGTTCAATTTTAAAATGGATATGCATTTAAATTAGTTGATTCGCGACCATTCGCACACTGTTCTGCATGCTTTTCATCGAGATATTTCAAAAGGACATCTTCGTAAACTTTTCTTCCTTTGTGGCGTACAACTTCATCAGGCCAACTTCGGAGAGCTGAGGCCAATCGTCCGGGAACGCTCGGTTCTTGAGAAATATCGATGATTGGCAGAAAATAAGTACGAACTGTAAAAAGAATGGCTCCACTGCGTGGCAATCGTCGAAGTGCCTGTCTCTCGCTACGAAAATGTATGTTTTCGATACATGGATTTGTTCGTGCATCTTTTCGCCCACGACCAAACGTTTCTTCTGATCCGATCGAACTTGACCAAGCCAGCTCACCGTCTGTTTGAATGGAATAATTGTATCGAACAAATGGTTTCTCAGGCGTCATTTTTTGAAAGAATCGTTCCATACCCTCCTGTAGTTTTTCTCGAAATTGTGGCACGTTTCCAGACGTGTGAATTTCGGTAAGTGACATATTGAATTTATCTTCAAGACGCCAGAAACCAGGAAGTGGGATCGCACCAGCTTTGAGATAGTACTGTCCATCGACTCCTTCAATCATTAGTGCTAAATCGTCTTGAATTAGCAAAGCTGCATACTTGAGAGGATCGTCAGAATGAATAGGATAAACTTCTCCTGTAGCTTTGATTTGAATTTGCTTTTGTGTGGCGCTATATTCGAACTGGAACAGTGAAGGATAGCGGCAAACTAAATATTCACTGACTAATTCCATGGTTTCAAGTGCGGCATCATACGCTTCGGGAACTGTCATACACAAACGAGATGCTCGTTCTCCAAATAGACGAGCAAGCTTTATATTATGATAGCGAATCCACTGATTGTCAAGTTCGATCCAATCATCCCAATGTAGATGACGAATGCCCATGGTGACAAAATAGTCAGGTCCATACTTGAATGGACGATAGGGCAACGGATTGGTAGTTTCAATTGACCAGTTAGGATACGCAGGAGGTATCGGCGCTTGAAAATCTACTGGAGTCCACGTGCCAAATGGTTTCTTGCCATCGGATCTCGTAATAATGTGTTTGTTGCGTCGAAATCGAACGATATAGAGCAACGCCGTTCCAATTGTGATTACTGCTAGCAACAAATACTCGAACATGAGATATCCAAAAAACAAATATAGAAACATCGCATTATCAAAATCTATAAATTCATGCCTTACCAAAGTTACTCCCGCTCCCTCTTGATCTCAATTTCAACAACAGCTGTACTTTGCCTATTATGAATGATATTCTTAGATTGAGCTGTATTTTGATGCTAAAATATTAATACTGGTGCATTCGCTTAGATATTTTAGATACTTGCATAAATATTCTTTTAAGCAATATGAGGAAACACTGCTCTAGGTTCAAATAGGTTTGTGCAATTGTACCCCTAGCTTTATGCAATATTTAACTTTTCTCCTCTTTGCTTTATTTTAGAACGCCAAAAAAAGCTCATGATTCCATTGTGTAATGAATAATTCGAACCACTCTTCCGAAATACTTAGAAACTGTGATCAAAGTACTCATGTTAAACTTCAGCAGTAATTTACATATTATTTTCACTGAGCTATTGTCTTCTCAATATAGTGTATTTAGCAAGGGGGAAAGTGTAGGTTTGGAGCCCCTCGCACATCAGCATCTGTAGCACCTTT